TTTTATTGCTCGCCTCGGCTTATAACAACTGTATCAAAATAAACTGTGCCTCTGGTGTGAAAACTGGCCCCAATGTACATAAACCTACATATTTCCCAAAGTTATGTGAATGCTATAGGGCCACGTTGTCTTTCATTAAGTCCCAAATATTTTTCCAAACCTCTCTTCCCAAAAACGTGCCCCGGCCTCTCCCAAAAACGCTGAGTCTGTTTTTTCCTCTAGTTCCCCCATTCCTCGTCTTTCACTGACTCTCCTGCTGAATGGATTAAGACTTCAAACTATTAATGGTAGTACACACTCTCTGAGTTGTTGTACTCTGGAAAAAAAAAAGTGTCTGAGCGATTGAACACGTGCAGAGGCATACGTTCTGCAGCTGCTGTGATGTAAGACATGATGGTTCTACTTAATGACTGAGGGCATTCATTCCATTGCACTGGGGCAATGCCGTGTACAGGGCAGCCATTTTTACAAGCCACAAGTATGCAGCGCTATGAAAGAAAGTGCTCCCAGCTGCCCCCATCAGCGCCACAGTCTCAGGCAAGAAGAATCTGTCACTTTTTTTGACTTGGAGATCCCTGGACTTGTACAATTAGTGAATGACATCAGCTGAAACTGAAATATACAGATATGGTGAGTCGATATTGTAGTGCACATACTTTCAGGGGGTTTTCTTTGGGCATTTTGGTTTCATTTATATATACCAGTTTAGCCCTTATCAAAAGAGAGTTCATGTATAATATCTTACTTCATACTTAATTCTATGTAATAAATAAAAAGGAAGAACAATCAAAATGACAGCTCTGGCAGTTTTAGTAGTTTAAGAATTAAGATTAAGAGATCCTTTATTTGTCCCACAGCCGGGAAATTTCAGTGTTGCATCACAAGGTACAGAACATTAGGAATGAGGAGCACACAGCACAAGATAAATGAATGTCAACAATACTAAATGAAATACAACAAAATATCTAACTCTAGCATCAAAGAAACAAGAATAACATCTCTTACTTGAACATAATAAAGAAGTATCAGCAGAATTGTGGGAGTCCTTATGTTTAAGTGTGTTGCTTGAGTATGCAGTAATTTTCCTGATTTGAGAATATCTTATCTGTATTAAAACCAATTGTATTATAAGTGAAGGTACACGTTCTTAATTTCTTCATTTGAATTGAAAAGGTTTACTTATTTTGTTTAAGTTACAACATGTATTTTGTTCCATTGGCAAATCTTTTAAAACAAAAATACTATAGTACAAAAAAAACACATATTGCATACTTAGTTAAGATACCCTAACCCAAACCCATAGAATAGAAGAGTCAGCAGTGAATAATGACTCAATTTATACTGAACCAGGACTAAACTGTAACTAAAGAAGAAGAGGTCAAACTAGGGCTTATCTCCAACTACACCAGGACTAAACTGTAAACCATCCAACCAGCACATAATAGCATTTTCAGCACATTCAGTAGTGATTCCCAGCTGGCCTGTCACGGCTGCAGTCTCGTGCACAGAGGAGAACCTTTGGCCGTAACTTAAGTTGAAACCAGAGCTGTCGTGTCTCATAGCCGCCGAGCGACTGCCCTCACGTCCCGCAGGACACGGTTACCCCAAACACTGACCCCCTCTGACCCCTGTCTGTCAGAGCCTCGGCCCCCTCTCATGTCTGGAGGGAACACTATAAAGCCTACATGGATTATTACAAGACTTTTTTTGCAATTATATTATAACCCAACTTGTCATACTAGAACAAAGTCATTGTTCACTTGATGTTATGAGAATTAGAATCACAATTATTGTATTGCTATTGGGAGTAACAGGAAGTCACAAACTGGGAAATCGCTTTGGCTCTCGGTGTAAACAAGTTATAAAACACTTATAATTACTAAAGAGAAATTAATAATCTACATAACATTCCTAAAAATTGCTACTATATACAAGTGCACTAAGGCTGAGTTTACACGGAGACAATGTGGCAGTAAAACGGTATAGTTGGATGTCGGTTCCTACCAACCGTTCATACGAAGACTGTGTTCCAGGGGGGTGAAAACGTAAGTGTTCAGATCCAGCCTGCAGAGTGGGACAACTCAGAAACGCTGCACAGCAGGGAGCTTTTTCACACCCGCGAGAGGGGAAAGGTGTGAAATCCCCCTCTGCTCTGACCCCCACCTCCGCGCTGCTCCCCGCACGTAAATTTGGACATGCGCAGTAGCGGAGAACAAACAAAAACAATAATGGCGCCGCCCACACAAACTAGCTACGTGGGCTTCCAGCGCGGCACGGAGGATAATTCTACACCTTCGTTCGTCCAAACGAGACCACGCGAAGCTCTAGGTTCAGTTCCCATTTTCCCAGATGCTGTTAAAAAGCAGAATGATGTTGGTGCGTTCTGAGGGTCTGGCACAGGAAGTGAGTACACTGCCGAGAGGGGGGCTGGGCACGGGGCTGGGGGTCGTGTGAGTGTTGTAAAGTTTCTCTGCCAACTACTGGCTGGGCGCTAGAACTACATCGTTTTTCAACCTCATGTGAACGCTGAGAAATTTGCATTAGGAGCCAGGTCGTTTTTGTTAATAGCCTGGAAACGTCTGCGCAGCGTCTCAGTATAAACAGGGCCTAAGTGCATAAGTACACTTATGCTTATCAGTACACGTACAACTTATCTATAGCTAAAGCGACCGAATACTGCGGGGAATAGAACTGTGTGAAAGCTGTTAAAACTGGTTGTGTTGTTTTTGCTCCTTACAAACATTCACGCAAAAGTGACAGATTGCATTATATGGAAACAATGCAAATCAATATTTACATGGAATTCATACAGATAAAGAGTAAGTAGAGGTAGGGAGGGGAGGGAGGATTTAATACATTTTGGGTGGTGTGTGTGTGTGTGTGTGTGTTTAGGTCACTGTTATTGCTTGATATTATCACAGAAGTGTTAGAAAATTTAGTTAGTTGTATATATACCAGAGTTGTCCCAGCGAAACCCTGGAGTGCCAGATGTTTATTCCCGATTTGGAGATGATCCCAAGAGATGGGCTCTGTGTTAACCATCCCCACTCACTCATTGCTTTCATAACTATTGTGCATGTTTTCAGTGATCCGGGAAACAGGAGCACCCGGAGGAAACCTATCCAGAGACGTGCCACCAATTGTGTCATATAGTAAAGGCTTGTGTACTATATGTGCAGAAAACAGCTGGGGTTTGTACCAGCTTCCCAGATAATGTTATTGATACATTGATAATGGCTTCAAGTATCTGATTTACAAAAGAGTAAAATAGAACTTTAAATATTATAGCAAACTTATCTGATATTAATATTGCAAAGATTTAAAAATTATTTATTATGTTTAGAACTACAAAACAGCTTGTACGAAAAAGTTCAAACATGAGAGGTCTCTTTCATCAATTTGAAAGAATAACAGTTCAAACCAGTATTTGATCCACCAAATATTCCTGGATAGATGCTGGTATCAGATACTAGAACTCCTCAAAAGCTTCAAATAGAAACGCTTACATTTAAACAGTATAATTTAAGAGTGAAGCAGATGTGGGTCTATTTGTATTTTCCGAGTTTTACCGGTTCCTCAAAACCCTGTGGATTTGAGGGAGAAGCAGGTCTTATGTGACAGCGAGCAGTGGCCTCTTGATCTCACTGCCCTCATTCATGAACTAATACTTTCCAGCGACTCAGGAAGGACGTGTGGATACGACAGACTCAACGGATACATACTGTTTATACATGAATACAGTAGAACTCAGTGACTGTTCTTTGTGAAATTATTATTAAAATGGAACAAAATACAAAACCCATTTATGAGACTTTTTATAAATTATGTATGTTTCTATTGTAACACCGTTTGCAATACTGAACTGTTGATGTCGTAACCTTAGAATTACAAGGTTCTGTCTGAAGTTAGTTATTTGCTTATTGTTTGTTCTGGATTAGGGCTGGGACAACGCGTCGACGTAATCGGTGACGTCGACGCAAAAAATACACCGACGTATAATATGCGCGTCGGTGCGTCACACACAAAACAAAGATGGCGGCGAGCGGTAGCAATGCAAGTGCCGTGTTAGAGAAGTGCAAGCCGGTGTAACGCTGAGATACACTGCCTTGAAGAGATGCACAGCCTCAGCTGTTTATGAGGTAATGCAAACCTGCGCATGCGCGTCTCACGGCAGCCGAAGCAAACCAAGATGGCGGACCGTGAATTTCTTTAAAAGTTAAAATACGAACGAATTCAGACACGAATGTCACTTTTAATGCAATTTGAGGCGATATGTTGATGGTTCCGTTTTGTCACATGTGGGTTTTAAGAGTCAAAGTTTCGTGCAAAGTTTAGTTTAAGCAGTCAACTGCGCCTGTGAAACCACAAAGCTAATGTTTTCATAGCAGTCCGCAGCTGCTGACGTAGGCTGATGACGCGTCCTGTGGCCACTCTACACTCTTATGTAGCCATGACAGGCTGATGGCTCCCACTGTTTTTGCTGGAAAAGCACTCTTTGTTTAGCTTAAAGCCTTCAAGTTTACATTGGTTACTGTTTTCTTTTAGTTGCTCTACACAAGTATTTGGCTGAACTTTTTCATATTTTTATTGAATGCTAAGCATCAAATGTTTGTTTCAAGAATGATAAGATGCACTTTTTTCAGTAAGCTGTGTTTTTAAGGCTTTAAGGTTTTATGCTACCTCTAAGAATGTCTTATTTTTTAATTTTAAGAGCAAGCAATACATATTTTTTGTGAAGGAATTCATGTTTTTTTCATTAAAATATTTAAATCAACATGTATACATCAATATTAGTCAATTAATGGGGAGATAATCGAGAATCGAATCGAATCGAAAAAAATAATCGTTAGATTAATCGATGCATCGAAAAAATAATCGCTAGATTAATCGTTTAAAAAATAATCGTTTATCCCAGCCCTATTCTGGATACCTAATTTATAGTTTACCAATATTTTGAAGGATATGGTGCATGTTTAAGGTTTATCAGGTTTATTACTCACTGTGAAGGCCTTGACTCGACTTGGCAGGCACTGGACAAAGTGCATGACAGCCAGGTTGATGAAGGCGGTTTTGTAGAACTGGATTTTCTGATGTCCCTGCACCAGTTTGAACAGCTCCAAACACATGAGGCCCGACACAGCAGCGGTGGTGGTGGCGATGGCCGGGATGATTCTACCCACAATGCGCTTACTCTGAGGAAAATAAATGGTACATGGTCGATAGGTCAATTAGGAACAAACAGTAAAGGAGAAATACAGTGGTTGTGGGTCACAACAACACATGCATTCTATTTTTATTCATTTTCATTTTTTTATTATAGTAAAAAATGTACAGTTGAGTATTTTGAGGATTGAATTGTAACAAGGGAATATAGGTTATTTGTTTACCCACTTCAATTCACATTCCCTTTGAGTGCGTGCATGTTGATGTTTTTTATTTTATTTTATTTATTTTGTTTTTGTTTTATTCTATGGCTCGCGTGGGTGTTGTTGGTGGTAGGGTTTTTTCTCACTGTTTTTGAGGTACACCATTTAACTTCCATGTGGATCTCCGAGGTTTCTCACTTTTCTCCCACTGGGTTTTAGAGTAGGGACGACAGTGGCTCAGTTGGTAGAGCATTGGCCTTTGCGCCTGAAGGTTGTGGGTTTGAGCCCACCGTGAGACCTACTTCAAGACTCCCACTGATGCCTGCTGTTGTTCTGTCCTTGGGCAAGACACTTAAACCCACTTTGCCTGAAGCTCCCACTGAAAAATCTCAGCTCCTGTGGACTCACCACCTACAGGAGGATCAGTGAGGGGCTGGTGCGCTGTGTACTGGGTGCAGCTCTTGACTATGTGGTTTTAGTATGAGATTAAACTCCCTCTCAGGCCAAGTTAAGTCAGATCTACAGAGAGAGGCACTCATCTAACAAACATAATCTATGTTTCTCTTTATCTCTTTGGTTGACTGATAAGATGTTGTAACATACACAAAGCAAAGCCAGCTGAATATGAATTTTTCCCCCAACTTTATGCCTTGCGTACATCGGACTGGCAACTGATTTTATCCGTTGCATATGAGCTGCTGCCCCGCACACATCGACAATCTGACGAAAACGGGCAACTCCCAGTAGCAGACTAGTCTGGGGAATAACAGCGGGTACATCGACAGCAACTGGCCTCAACTACAGTGTGTTTTCTGACATAAACTGTTGCGGGCTCGCAATACACGCAATACACACACGTTGTCGGAGCGGCGCATGGAGCGCGCACATCGGGTCATATCTCCAAAACTGAGGACAACTAGTTGCCGAAAAGTAGAACACGGGCAACTGACTGAAACTGGAGACCGACTGTTTATCTCCAGTTGTAAGAGCGCTCACATCGACCGATTTCAGCAACTGATCATCTCCATCATCTACTCTCAGTTGCCAAAAGCCGCCTTGCAACTAGTTGTCTCCGGTTTCTCTGTCGATGTACGCTAGGCTTTACATTCAATGTAACTGTTCAACTGATAAGATTTTTTTTCTTCTTCCAGATTGATTGTTGTCTAAGAGAAAAGAGAAGTAATCAATCAATGAAATATACACATCAGTTTCTGTTACTGTAGTTGATATTTTTTGCATAATGAATTCAAGCTGGAGTGCCTTAATCTTTAGGGTAGGTAAAATTTGTGAAAAAATCAAACCACAACGTGCTACTCATCTTAATAGAAAACATGTTATCTTTTGCAGACATGGCATAGTTTTAAGACAGAAGCTCATGAGTCACTAAGACAATTTGTGCTGAGAGCTTATTAACTGCGGTAGGTACTCTCTAGACAAACTTTTTGACAGAAATGTGATACAAAGATGTTTCAAAAGCCAAAAGTACATGTATGTGAGAACTAGTGAAAGTTTTGAAAGCAAGAAACTAGAAACAGATTTTTTTTACAAGGCGGTTTGATAGTTAGGGCCCCAGCTTTAAGTCACAATGGCCAGTCCATTGTGATGTGCATTGAGCTTCTTGTGATAAACATTGGAAAAGCTGGACGTTGATTTTCCCCCCTAGTTCTACAGCAGATTTGTCGTCAGCCAATAGGTGCACTTGTCTCATTGTCCCAATGCAAACCCTCTCTCTGCCCCCTCATGCGTCTGGCTGTGGGCTCAGGTGTCAGCTCCCCGGCGACAGGTAAAGTGCTGTGATTAGTTCAGCTCCAGTGACAATAGGCGAGCGTCTGTTATTGTGGCTGTGGGGCAGGTGAGTTTTAACATCACAACACTCGGCTTCTGCTCTTTGATCTGAAACCTGCGAATCAAAGACAAGAGCGGCGGTGAAACGGCTGACCTCGTGTCGGTCCACTGCTGGGATGTCGTAGTTTTCCGCGCGCAGGTTTGATGCGGCTGTGATGTAGTCCATGTGGAAGTTGGTGTCATCGTCCTGCAGAGAAAAGAGTGAAAAAAGATGGTCTCATAAATAATACATCTTGTTTGTCTCAACAGGAAGAAAAATTGTAAAAGTATAATGTTTGAACAAATCAGACCACAACATGCTCTCCAAGTTATCTTTAATATAGTAACTGCATAGTTCCCTAGGCGACTACTACTATTGACAGAGGCCGGAGTGGTAATGCAGGATCCATCCATCCATCCATCCATTTTCTACCCCTTAATCCATTTCTGGATCGGGGGGGGGTGGCCAAAGGTGCAACCCAGTGAGTCCACGGGAGGAACCCTGCTCTATGGCAAAGCCTTGATCTTTCAGCGGGGTCTTCAGGCAAAGTGGGGTTAAGTGTCTTGCCCAAGGACACAACAGCAGTCATCAGTGGGAGTCGGTGGAGAAGGTCTCATGGTGGGCTCAAACCCACAAACTTCAGGCTCAAAGGCCAATGCTCTACCAACTGAGCTACTATCGCCCCAGGATGGGTCAAATGCCAGCTAAAAATAAATAAATAAAGTGTACATTTGCATATTTAAGGAAAAAGTCCTGTGAGTCCCTATTAAACAGATTTGGGCTGAAAACTGATTGGATCGGTGAGGGTGGGTCTGTCTTTTTCACTTTCCTGTATGAAAGAGCTCATCTGACGGCCTACAAATACATGAATGGATTGATAACAGCAAAACCGAAAGAGGCTTTGTCACCACAATAAAAAATTTACTTTTGTGCACTGGCAGACAATTGCAAATGTTGGATTGTGAAATTGGGAATTGGAAAAAGTCCCATCTGTCTAAGAAGTGACATCACTGAGTTTTGGGCACTACAGAGCGTTTGTGATGGATGTGTCTATGATCTCATGGCTGCACAAAGGCTGCGTAGGTGACGGTGGCTGAGGGGGGAGAGGAAGAGGAGGCCTGGGGGCAGTGAAGATGCTCTAAGCCCTAAACTTGATCTACCTAAAACCCACCTACACACATTCCTCTGCCCACCGCACGGACACCAGCTTTGGGACAAATGAAGGTTTGGAGTAGCCCCAAGATGTCACCTGATCCAGAGTTACCTCACACAAATGTTTTAACCAGAGCCACATTAACACTGCATCAAAGTGAATTACCATCAGGGTCAGTCGGGTGGTCCTGTTCTGTAGTAAACAGCTGAATACCACGTGCATTGTTTGTACACACATACAGTAACAACAACAACAAATCAGATCTCTATGTTTATTTCCACATAACACATTATTTTAGGTATAATATTTAAATTATGTCCTGAAGAATCCCACGTTTCAATAAACCCAATAATGACACAAATTTAGATCTTGTGTCCATTGTCAAATTTGGGGGGGAAAAAAGAATTAAAAAACTGAACAAAAATCCCATACTGAATCTTGTGGTCTTGTACCAGTACTTTTCAAGAGTTGCAAACAAACATCTCCATTTTGAAAATATGCAAAAGTTTGTTTTTACTGTTACAATCTTCCAACATTTGGAATGATTTTCTCAGGAAGGGGTGAAACTTTATTTTAGTGCACTACAATATACCTGTTTTTTTTTTTTTTTCTAATGCCACTTATGCAAACTGTTAATTCAAATGTACTGAATCTAAAGTGAGAGTTTTGGGATACTTGTAACCTGGTAAGTCCTGCCAATGCAGGACCTTATTTTCACCGCATGCTCTGCAGTACAAAGCTCCTTTATCATTTGTTTTGCAGAAGTCACAGCTTTGGGTCAGCGACAACCAGTACCAACAGACAGGAAGCCTCACACAGGACGTCCCAACAGAAGAGCAGTGGACCCCCGCGAAGGCCCAGCCGCCGCTCTGTCTGAGGAAACACACAGGCCACAGAGGAGCAGAGACCACACCCACCTTCTCAAACTCCACAGGAAACATCCCCATCACTGCACTCTTCAACGATGGAGAGGACAGCTTCTGCTTCATCTCCTCCAGTTTCTCTTTATCTGCAGAATTACACAAACATTACTTGCAAACTCTTACGATCTAGTGTTTGTCCTTCCCCTCCTCTCCTGCATGTATTTTACCAGCTTCACCTGAGCTGTAGACAAGTCACATTACTCACACTGCCTCTGTGTAGAAGAGACTAGTCTGTTCACCTCTTGTTTGCAGATAATTCCGTCTCAGTCGATGGTGCGTCCAGCTCTTGTGGTATTTAGATCTTACCTGTGTTATGTGGATTTCTTTATACTCAACACAGGTAAACTTCTTGTCTTTTCAGATCCGGTTGCGTCTCATCCCTGCATCTCCAGTCAGCTCTGGCTTTCCACTTCGGATTATGTCGTGAGTAATGTTGGGGCTCCACAAGGAACGGTTCTTGCTCCTTTTCTCTTTACCATCTATACATCTGACTTCAAGTACCACTCTGACACTTGTCATGTTCAGAAGTACTCGGATGACACAGCCATTGTGGCCTATGTCAGAAATAACCAGGAAGAGGAGTACAGGAACTTGATCACTGCATTCTGTGATTGGAGCACCAAGAACTCACTCACTCTGAACACTAACAAGACCAAAGAAATGACTATCTACTTTGGCAAGAAAAAGAACACTTTACAGCCAATAAATATTCATGGACAGGACATCGAACGCGTGCACACATACAAATATCTAGGTGTTCACCTGGATGATAAATTGGACTGGAACATCAACACAGAGGCGCTCTACAAAAGGGGTCAGACCAGGCTCTTTTTTCTGAGGAGGCTAAAGTCCTTTGATGTGTGTAATCAAATGTTGTCTATGTTTTACCATTCTGTTGTGGCGGCTGTTCTCTTTTATGCTGTCATTAGTTGGGGCAAAAATATATCGGTCAAAAACCGTAACAGGCTGGACAAACTGGTTAAGAGGGCGGGGTCAGTGGTTGGGGGGTCACTGGACTCTGTTGAGGCAGTGGTTGAGAGGTGCATGGGGGAGAGAAAGGTCCAGGCCATCCTTAGTAACTCCAGGCACCCTCTGTATGGGTCTCTGTCTGCTCAGAAGAGCAATCGATCGGATCGTTTCCTCTCCGTATACAGCAGTACTGAGCGCTTCCGGAGATCCTTCATCCCTGCTGCAATTCGATTTTACAACGGTCATCGCTGATGTAAATGTGTGGGGGTTTTAATTTTTTTTTTTTTTTTTTTTTTTTTTATTATATTTATATGTATTGTCTTTTTTATCCGCTGTTTTGCTACTAAGGACAACTGAATTTCCCCTCGCTGGGATGAATAAAGTATTTATCTATCTATCTATCTATCTGTCTTTGCTCCAGCTAAGTTGGCCTGCTCACTGCCTCCACTGCCTGCTCAACTGCCTACTAGTATTGTATATAAAATTGTCTCTTGACTTTGCCTTAAGGCTTTATCTGCAAACCATAACACAAACTGCACCATTATTATCCAGTACTTCAACATCCATAGTGAGTTGTATTATATTTGTGTCGACTTTAAATTAGTTTAAATGTTTATGGAATGTAACTTCTGTGTCCGACACTCTCAACATATCTTCATGGACATGTTATGGCTATGTCTTAAATGTTCCACAGTAAAGTTTCCTTAAATCCTTTCACATTTTTATAGCAATATGTGTTGCTGCCAGCGGATCACCTTTTCATAGATTTGACCCAAAACATGGCCAGGAAGTCTGTCTACATGGAAAATGCCTAAGTGAGGAAAATTACAGCCAAAACAATGACATGGAAAGAGGCATTGAACAAACTAATGGAATAGTTACACAGTGGACATAGAAAGCAGTATGCATTTATACAATACTCAAGGTTTTTAAGGTGACACAAGTCAAATCCTCTAAATATTTCCCCATTAAATTTGTCCAACTACAGTGTCTTTTTCTGCTGGCATTCACAGAAATTGTTCAGACGATCCACGTTTTGGCCACCAACAGAACAAGCCCATGACTTTGTTTTACTGTGGCAGGCATTTGAGTACACTGCACTGCTTGCTATAATGCTCTTCTGCTATTGCTGCTTTAATTTCATCTATCTAGCATCCATTCCTTTTAGGATTAAATCTGTAATCTACAACCCACCGGCTTCATTGTCCTGTTGCTCCTTCATCTCCTCATCTGTGACAGGGATCTTCAGACTTTGAGGGATGAACTCAGAGACAGTCACTTTCTTCAGGAGTTCTCTGATTGAAGCTCTGTCTCTGCTACCACTGATGCCATAGGTTTGTGCATAAAGGTTAGCAGCAGCCACAATAAAATCCATATGTGTCACCTAAAGGAAAGTGAGATTCATTGTCAGGCCATGTGAGAAGTGAAAAAATATTATGCTTAGGTGATTAATAATATAATGACAAAATAATAATAATAATATGTTACAAATAATAATATAATGTTATGTACGTAAGATTAATATAATGTTTCTCACAATATCTACCACGTAATAATATACAATTTCTTTAGATCAAGCGCAGTTAAATTATAAAAGCAGCTTTAAGCTAAAAAAAAGAGTGCTGTTCTGTCTGCATCTAATTATAAGTTTTTTATTGCATGCAAACCAGGAAGTAGTGGTAAAACTGCTCTGGCCACTGCAAGTTGTGAAATGTGCTTATAAACTCATTGTGGTGAATAGTCAAGGTGGTAGGAATGTGTTTGTACCAATGATGAACAGTTTCAGTCCTCCGATGCAAATAGCTCCGAACACATTTTAAAAAGATATATCTATACTTTTTTAAACCCTACTCACATTGGAGGGGTCAAACGTTAGCGGATGAGGGCATCTCTTCGTTCCAGACCAGAAGCGAAGGCCGTGAGTGGTCAGCTGAAAGAGTCATTATAATTGTACCAGATATGAAAAATACTCTTTAGTCAAACATGTTATGCTAAAACAGTAGACAATATCTTAATGACTGTGTTATATATTGTGTGATGTGTCAACTTGCATTTTCTTTTTCAGATTTCTCTTTGTAAAAACAGATGCCTTTTTTTATATTGATCTCATTATTGATTTTTGGTTTTTCAAGCAGCCAAAAGAATATCAGCAAGACAAAGCTAATCTTTATTGATCTTATTGTGACTAACCGTATCAACCAGATAGTGGTTCTTCAGTGACTACAGGAGGTACAGACTGTTATCTCCATAATGTGAGGGTTTGAATAGAGGAACAAAGAGCCTGGAGCTTTGAAGTATCCAAATGGTGCTGAGGAGAAAATCTGCAGTGGTGTGGCTACTTTCACTACAGGGGCAATGAAAACAGCCAAAAGGCAAGATCAGTCATCTCAGGGGGCAAACTGTCGCTTCTAAATACCACATAATTCCTATTCATTGTGGATTTTTCTATTACCTACAAAGAGGCCATGAGATCATTGAAACTTAATATTCATATACTCAGAAAAACTTAATAGCTGGGGTTGATTACATGTAAAATTGCTCAAATAATGTACAGGGCATCTGGAAGCATCTGGAAACTCCATCTAACATACTGAAGAAAAAAACCCAAAGATGCAGAGGTTTGGGATTGTGTTTGGCACCATGCACGTGGTTATAATATACCAGAATATACAGGGATGCACCAGCATCTGCCACGGCACCAATAGATATGTTAGCTTTGACCTTAAATACCGAACACATCAAGTAGATAATCACTGATTTCTGCATACTGTTGAGAAATCATAATTGATTTCACAAAGATCACATCAACCTAAATTCTCTGAAACACGTATAAATCGGTATTATATTACAATAACACGTTTTCATTTACAACCAAATGTTGCGGTGCTTCCTCCATCAAACGTAGTGAAAATGTCTCTCCTAAACACTGATGTCAGCGGAGCCTCATCGATGCTTTACTTCCACCTGAAGTTGGCTTTTTGTGTATGTCACTGGTGTTGTTGTCGTGGAGAGTAACGGTTACTGACCTCAGCAGTGATAGTTCCTCTATGTCTGCGGTTAAAACTGACCCTATTGTTGTTGTTGTACTGTGTTGCAATATGGCTGCATGACATAGGCAGTTTAGAAAGAAAAATAGAGAACTAAAAAATGAGCCAAAGGCCAACAAGGGTTTTGACATTTTAGGTTGAAGTTCAGAAAAAAACACACACATTTTATCCATTCAAATGATAAAATCCCTAAATATTATGAGGGAACAGATTGTGTTTGGTACACTAATCTCGCTTATTGAACAATCATATATAAAATACTGACATGTACAGTTTCATAATGTGAATATTTGAACCTCAGAGCTATTGGCTTATTACCTTAATATTCTTGCAATAGAGTGATTACAGATTTATTTACAAACTTATATTATGATGTACCGTTATTCAGTATTGTATTCTTTCCTCTTTAGAAAGCTAAAGATAGACCTTCTATTTAATTATCAAAAACACTTCTATGTAGTGTTTCATTCAGAAAAATGAATCTGCATTTCAAGAGACCTCATGTAGAGATCTACTCCAGTGCAGAACGTGCAGACTTCAGAATTGAGGAATTTGAAAGTGGGACTTGGGTCACGGAGGTCTGTTTGCACTGACATCGATCTGTGCACCCCCTCTCCCCCTCTGTCCCCCCAGATCCACCCTGCTCTGTCTACCCCCCAGGTGTGACATCACTCTGTCTGCATACTCCGAACGATTACAAACCCGCTGAGATTTGTATCTGTGCTGCCCTTTCAAAGGTTCGAGTTACTGTCACACGGCTGCTCACAATCTGAAGTACTTCTATCCATCCTGTGTCAATACTTGTATGTTAACAGATAGCACTGAACGTTATCTCAACTATCTGCGTAATTGCTAGGTTATTTTTCTTTCATTGTACTATTCAGTACATAAAAACACAATGATGTATGGGGAGAGGGAAGGCTCTGAGTCCCTGCTGTTCTGAATGCTGGCCAAGGATAAGCAGAAGAATCCCCACAGTATCCCTGCATCAGTGGTTCATAAAGGGGCCATAACATGCTGCTGTCTGCATTAGTACATTAAATCTCAATATTGAGCTAAAACGGCAAAAGAGACGGGTCTACAAACTTCCTTTTCAATTCCTGCCCTTTTTTGGTCGCAACATATTGGTTCCTTCAAGCAAACAAGATGCTTGAATAATCCGCATATAATAGAATCAGAAAAGAAAATTGTTGAATTATTGTTGAAGAAAAAAGAGAGGGAGGTTGTTTTCAAACAAAATTACTGCCACATTTGGGTGGCAGTAATAGTGTTCCAATTGATCATGCCTCAGCAAAAAGACCTTGTGAGGTTCCCGATATGGAATGTCAATATCACAAGAAAGGAAGAGGCCATACTTTTCGCTCAGTGTGAATGAGCCTATGGAGAGGATGTAGATACACGTTGATGACCATGTCCATAGATCACCATGACAAGATCAATGGAGTTTGGACACACACTGAGTTAATTAAAGTCTAGAGAAACGCTGAGTTGATTAAAGTACAAACATCAAAAAGTATTTACCTCATCAGGGGGGAAACAGTGCAGCAATTGCTTGATGTCGTTGTTAAACTGAGTTTCCCACTGCTGCCGTGCCCAGTGAACACAGTGGTCCCAGGACTCAGGATGTTTCCCCCCAGAGGAAAGATCTACGAGGCTGCTCCACACCTCAGAGAACATCTGCAGCGCCTCCACCTCCCCTCGGCCAAGAGCTCTATTGATAAAGTCCTCATCTCTAAAGGGATGAGGAAGGAAAATGTGTGTCACTAATAATTATAAACTTAAACTTAACTGTTCAGGATTATCCCATGTTTTTGCATGGAACTTCTAAACCTTAAACTAGCTATGAAAACTAAAATAATAAAAGCTTAAAAAATAATGAAAACAATAAATAAAAGCTTTGAATTGTAATGACATACAGTGGAACATTTCAGTGAATATTAATTAAATAGTATGGATTCCAGGCAAAACGTAGTTTAGAGAAGGCTAATATACAGTAGCGTGGCAAATAAGATTCATCTTCATACAGTTCAGAAAGTTGTAACTGACTGCTGCGTAATAAAAAATAGTTTTGTAGTGCTAAAATAGTCACAGTATAGATGAATGCTATTGCAAACCTCACGTCTCTCTTGTCTCCCCACCCTCTGACCTGCACATAATACTACTACGTCCAAAAATACAAAATACTATCTATGGAAACAGTCAATTTGTTACGTTAGGGGGATTCTCTTGAAAAATTAGACATGACTCAAAAACCCTCTACTGGAAATGCTGTTTTGTTGTGGTCAATGTAATGCTATCTGTGCGTGTCATTGTCACATGTGTCATCAATTTTAGTTTTAGTTTTACTTTGATGGAAATCTACCTTCAAAGCAGCAGGTTTGAATGGGAACAATGGGCTGGGTCAACGCAAACCATTACAAATACCTGGTTCTTTCCACAAATTGAACATGAATGTTACTTAACAAAGCACCATGCACTCACCAGGTCTTTTGAATATTTGAAAAAAAAAGTGTAGTACTTTACAAAAGGTGAGATAATGTATATATCTCAACAGGACTCTGGCGTGCAATGACAGACACTGTTTTGGAGACTGAAATGACTGCTTTGAAGTTTTAGAGTTTTTCCTTGCTGATGCAGGATGGTCCAAGAACAGTGGTGTCATGTATGAACTTTATCAATATTTATGGACATTGGTCATCTGCGTGTTATGGACCAATGGCTCTATGTGTTTGTTATCATTGCATTTCCTATGTTTGAACTGTGTTGGATTCTCTGATCATCTCAGAAGGCAGACTAATCTCACAATACTCAAAAGCGAGATACAGCTTTATATAGTTAATTTCAACAGTCCACAGTACTTCTTATAAGTATAAGAAGGCAGCTTTCATTTAACAATCCAAATACTTCAAATTGATAATCAGAGTGTAATTAACGGCATGTGTTATAAGTATGAGACCAAATTATGGGTAGAACGACTTCAAAGTAGTTCCATAGAGAAGACAGAAAGTGCTTTCGTTTTCTATTGCTCTTTTATTGCCCGGAGTCACACGTGTTTGGCTGTGTGCTAATAAAACTTAATAATAAGATGCCACACTTCATTGAGCGTTTGTAGTTTGTCAGGAATGTGCGAGAGAGACTGCACTGTAAAAGATGAAAAAAGAGTGTGCTACAGAGACTTTTGAATACAAGGACTGGTGTTTCTTACTTTAAATACATCATCACATTTTCAGGAACCTGCTTAAATAGTCCCTCAAACTGGTCTCTGGCCCACTGCAACACAAGGGAACACACTGTCACAATGGGATCAGGATATCTGGGAATAAAACAATTAATCTGGGAATAAAATAATTCATGCAATTATATGACACATGTATAGTTTTACAATGTCAACATGGGACAGTTTGAGACTATCATAAGCAGAATTGATTTTTTGTAAAGACAAGAGAAACCTGAAGATTTTTTTGTCTGATATTTTTCTATTGACTCAATGCCACAATGTCGAAGATTTGTCTCTTCTGAATTACTTTCTACCAATTCAGAAGTTAATTTTCAGAAAAAAAAACGAATTGTTTTTTGTTCAGTGTAAGTAATCATCTGGTTTCTACTGTAGCAATTTTAACAACTGACATGTTAGTTTTTTTAATCAATGTCAGTCTGTTCAACATTCCAGGCAAAGAAAGAACAGCGAAAGAAGGCATATGATTGGTCAATCCTTGTATGGCTCATATTTGTATTTACAAAGACAATATCCAAATAAAAACATAGAGAGCACTTTTCAATGTCAATAGGAGCTAAAGAGAGTTGGAGCAAAACTTTGGATATGAGCACTTCCCTATGGAGCTTCACTAAGTTAACTGGTTAGCTCAGTCAAGGGTCTGGACACAAATCTACAAAACAGCAATATTAGTATATTTTAAATTTCATCCAGATAAATACTTTTAGCCTAAGTATTTTGAACAAGCTGTACAAGTCAGACAACACAAAGAACTAAAGAGTCCTAAAGTGGTCTTAGCAGGACACTTTGGTCTCCATTGAGTGTAAAAGTACTGACCCATGCCACCCCGCTCCAGTGGAACTCATCCCACCTCTGTCCACACAATACCTGCAGTGTGTGCTCAATGCGATGAGGGAAGTTTTTGAGGGTGCACAGTGGAATTTCCTTCTTGGAGGAGGACTTGGCCGGACCATAAGACTCCGTCAGATGAGGAACGACCACCAAAGTGTGGCCTTTACTGCCTTGAGTGCCCCCCTCCAACATGGGCTTCATATGTGCAACACAACGAGCATCCAGGTAGGACCCTGTTTGAGAAAATACGTGTGAAAAATCACAAAATCAATATTATTTCTAAATGATATGTTAGCAGAAATACAGGCGCATCAAACCAATTGCTGGCTCACACACAGATGTGGTGATGAATAATTAGCCATCAATGGATGTTTTTGGAAGCTACAATCACTGCTCGGCTCTTGCCAAATAAAGATTTGTGTTGCTGATTCCGGAAGAAAAAAATCTAGCAAATTAAGTAAAAATAAGGGTTGTGTCTCAGTGGCTGTGGTCACTGGTTATGACTCTCATGAGAAAACAATGGCGTATATGTTGTAGGAGAACAGACTTTTCTCAAGCAGGCAGAACAACTACACAAAACTTTAGTAAATGTATTGTCAAAATCTGTGAAAGGTTTAAGGAGAACTGTTTTACCGCTCTCACGTCCCTTTACCCTTTTTCCAGTGATCTATGTAAGTTTTGCTGATGACCTATCTGTATGACCATTCATTTGTAATTGGGTATCTTTGTATACAAGTTGATAACATATAAACACATGCAGTATCATATTGAACTTACTTGCTTCCACATTGTCTAATGCTGCAGCGACCCCGTCCAGTCCAGAGTAGAATTGGTAATTGTAAACTTGTTCACTCTCTAAACCCAAACGGTTTACGTGGGCAGTGATGTTCATCTGAGGATTTATGGCTTTCACTGCCCTGGCTGCAATCTCCGCTTTGGCTTTCTGAAATGTACAAAAAACACAGAGAATTCAACTCGCCACCTATGCTGAAAAGTTATGCTGTGTAATCCAGGGATCCTTAACTGGTCTGAATATATTGTATTCTAACACACAGTGCTTCTTCAAAACTTTCAGTTCATACAATTATAAGTGTGACCTGAATACTCACAATAATAGTTTCACCTCTTTACTTTCCAATCTGAATGTAAGAACCGATTGGACTTATATAAATAGTATACTGCTTGCAAATTGAACATAGTGGATAAGCTTATTCTATGTGATTTCTACAATATCTACCTCCCTGTGAGCCCTGTCCTGACCTTCAATTTGAGAAACACTGTTTTATTGAGTTGAGTTATCTGCACATTTTAAACAAACTTTGATCCATTTACATGCTGGGTCCTGTTTAAGAGATCTTCTGTCTGATAGAGCCACTTTAAAAACATTCTCAAAAGTGTTGCCCACAGATTTGTATACAGACACAGATGGACTCAGTTGGACCTGACAGGAGCCATTAGTGACCACCTCTGCCCTGCACTTAAAGAGGTCAGACAGCAGCTACGGGTTCCAAAACTATGGGGCACGAACCATTTGCTTTGTTCAAACTATGAAATACTGTTGCTCATCCTAGTACGTAGTGATTTGACTTATATGTATGGGTGTTGGTAAGTGAAGTTTCTTGACTGCATTCTACTTGTTTGATAAAAATCTTATAATAGATTTGTTCACAATGCAAAGGGAAAAATATGTGATACGAATGTACTAATCGTTGGGCAAGAGGAGTGAGGTTTTGACCAAAATTAATATACATTTTCATATACTGTATATTTCACTGTATATATTTCAAATCTTGATACAAATATGACATTTGGCAAGTGTGCAAAAACATTCCAAATTATGGAGTTTTGATAGTTCCACATAGAGTTAGATCTTTTTCCAGTTTTTTGTTAGCATTAAAAATAGTATAGTCAATAATAACCTTGAGCACCAAAACAAGTTTAATCATAGGACAACTTTATCTAGACAAGTATACCTTGTAAAAAAAAAAAAAATGTCAGACAAATAAGTAGTGATAATATCATACTAATTGTTTGTATTATAGATTCAGTGCATTTTACATCTTAAAGCTGGGGTACCTAACCTCCAGACATAAAAAAATACAACTATAATAAAATCCAAAAGGAAAAAAAGAAAAAAAAATCCTACTTTTCCTCTTCTACAAATGGCAATCGACAGCCAATACTATTTTATCTGTTATATATGTGGTTCTGGTCCATTAAACATGCTCTTTGCAGTCAGACTACAACTTTAACCAATTCTTAAATTATGTTTTCTCACCCCAATATCTTTAGACCTGAACAAGAACTGACGATTCAAGTTGGACTTCTCAATGTGGTCCATGTCTGTCACAGTGATGTGGCCTTCTTCCCCGGCTCCCAATCCCATCAGAGCAAAGTTTTTCAAAAGTTCACATCCGATGGCTCCTGCTCCAACCTAAACATTTCAAAAACAAGTGTTAATTTGGGCACATAAGCATTCAGTGTCAAACAAACATCATCAGAGAAAAGATAATAGTTTGAGAGGAAATAGAGAATGAGCCTTATGTGTTGTGAGTTGTCTGTGAGTCAGGAAATGCCACCCATATTAGGGCACTTCCTGCATGTGCCATCACCAACACCAGGCCACTTCAAAGAGGCAGTAGATCCATGTGTTTGGATCAACTGAACATGTTTACCGCTCAATAAAATCTGATTTAAAAGTGGAATTAAGTCAAAATAAAATACCACAACAGAACAGAAATCTCTTTGGGTCAAATAACATCTTGACATGTTTTTGTTTCGTCATTAATGACATTCAAGACGGTGTTGTCGAATTCATTATAATTGAGCTATAACTTGCTTCTCAATGTATTGTTTGAGGTAAGTATTCAATCGAACACATAACTACAGGGATGACAAAAATAAAGAAATATAAACAGAGACCAATTTTTTAACACTTTAATAAACACAACTAATACTACTATTCAAATAACTACATTTATTATTGTCTACTTTTAAATAAATATGGACTATACTTTATGAGTAAAACATTCATAATATAATAATTAAGTTACGACTCTTTTGAAAGACATAATTTTGAAGACTGAATGAAATGGAGGACTTTAATGTTTTCGGATGAAACTTGTAATTTAGTGCATATCACAGGTTGATTTTGTTTTGGAGTAAATTGTAATTCATTTGAATTATTTTATGCCTTGGTTTAACTAGTCGTTTATTTCAAAATATGCAGCAGTAATAGCTTACATATCAAGCCAAAGCCTGCAGTGCCCTCTGCTGTTCTTACCAGGAAGTACTTCTGCCTCCCCAACTTCTCCTGGAAATCAGAGCCAAACACAGCAATTTGTCCATCATATCTTGTGCCCTTCTGCAAAATACAAAGAGGAAAGAATAACATTTTGAAATTACAATTTATAATCCCAATAATATACTCTTTGTCGTTTCCCACTCACTGGTGTGAATAAGCTTTCTTCTACTTGGTCATCTTCTGGGAGACACTCCAGTGCATCGTAGTAGAACCACTGTTTTAATGGCATGAACTTCCCACTGCAAGCCTAAAAGAGCAGAAAAAAAAGATTATTGAGAGTAAATTAATTAGGTTCATGTTCTACAGGAAAAATACGATTTTATGACATCAACCTTGTACCTCACATTCATTTTGAAAATATGCACTACACTATAAACTAGACAGGCCAGCTTGTGCAGCTTAGATTAGCATAAAACTGAAATACCTTTATCACTTCCTGTGCAGCCAGGCCCCCGATAAAAGCATTGAGAGGAGCCAGGTCGCCCTGAGCGGTGAACGAAAACCTCCTCACTGCGGCTTCATCCAGTTTTTCAAGTTTGAAATCATCATTCAATTGTTTCACCGCATCAAGAATGATATCTGCATCAGACTGTAAACGGTGAAAAGAATCAAAGACATAGACTTGTGCATGGTAACAGCCAAAAGTTGTACTTAACTGTTCTTATAAAAGTAACCACAACAGTTTTATCTTATTAGAAAACATGTTTTCTTGTCCTCTCTTTTTAACTAATAAAATACTGTTTCAGAGGCAGGAACTAGTTTGATGAAATCTATTAAATAGTTCAATTACTTGTGGTATATGTTCCCCAGGTATTAGAATATTTGATTTGTTAAAGTTGACATATGATAAAAAAATTATGAATTCCCCTATTGCGCTACAACAACTTTGTCAAATGGTTGTTTAGAAAGTAACACTCTTACTATTGATTGGATATAAACTATTTGTTTTGTTATGTCCCACATGTTTTGTGTTGCAATGCACAGCACAAAAACAATAGAAATACAGGACGCAAAATGTAATATAACTGTTATGTGCAATGATGGCTGTATGTTTTTTATGCATAGTTAAAACATGATACCAAAGAATGCATGATATTTGAAAACTGCTGACCTGACAGTGGGGACTTGGGAGTCGGTTCTCATTTTGCACAAAGGCATGCAGAGCTTGAAAGGCCAGATGCAGAGTCTTATGTCTGTCTATTTTCCCAAAATCATTTGTTATCAGGAGTTGGTCCAGCATTAGGGCCTGGCTCAGTGATTTCTGAAAGGAATGGGATGATTTGTTTTGCTTACAATATTATGGATGAGATAAAGTTCAAATGTGACGGCTTACAAAATGCAATGTGCACGGCTGTTTCACTTCTGTCACAATCCCACCACGCTCGTACTCTGAGAAGGTGGAAGTGTCGCAAATACTGAAGGAATATGATCCTGGGAAGTAAACACATTATGCAAATATCATTGTTAGAAAACACATCCAAATGTTCTGTTTTTGCTTTGCTAACTTTAGTATAAACTCATATAATGATTTATTAAAAGCAAATTGAAAAAGAAAAAACACGAATTTTAGTAACACATTTTGCTTGTTCAAGAAAAATTCAAGGAAAAGCAGAGCATGACATGCATAAAGTCTACTTGAATTAATTTATAAAAGTAATCTAAATTATTCAGTTTTGGAGATTATCCGAACACTGCATACATCCATGTGTTTCAAACCATTAAGGAATGGTTTCACAAAAAGTTAATTGAAGTCCTAGTTAAAGTCATAAGTGAAACAAATCTCAGCCTCTGGAGAGTAAACATTACTTTTAAGTTGTAAATTACAATAGAAATACAGTATAACATGATCAAAAGCTAAAGTTATGCCTTGTTTAATGTTTACCTGTTGATAATTGTCCTCCTTGTTGAAATCACCACCAAAAATGTGAAAAACAAACCTCTCTCTTTGATTTGCACTGGTGGCAACGTGTTGAGCTCAGTCATGCCCTGAACTTCAGAGAAAACCACTTTAGCTCCATCTTTAAACCCATGTCTCTGATCGTCACTGCAGATGACCACTCCAGGATTCCCCTGGACACAACAGATACGTCAGGAACACATGTTATATTCAACATTTGATAGAGCTAGAAAGCAACATGCTGGTGGGGTGGGGTAGTAATTATATCATATAGAAAGTCATTATATTATCATAGCCTATTGTCAAACTATATTTGTATGGAAATAACATAGATTTGGCTTTTCAAAAAACTAAAGCACAAATTGAAAGCCTTTCAAATTTCTCAATCTGGAAAGACTACAAGACGCAAAATGCATTTGAATGTTTTATCCATCCACCCTAGGCCCCGGTAGCGGAACTTGCTCTGCGAAGCTCCTTATCCCCCGGCACCTCGATACTAGTGGTGGCGTCCAGGCAAGCATGGGAGAGAGCGTGCTCTCGAAGAAGAGGAGGAGGAGGTGGGGAGGCGGTGGTTGCAAGGCTTGAAAGGGCTGTGGTATGGGAGTGACCGCTTTTAAGCTGCTGGCTTGGCAAGCAAAGGTCGGCGGGAAATAGGCTGTGCGATAGGCTGAAGGTGAGAGGCCGGCCTGGATGGGATGGGCTGGAGCAGGTAGTCTTCCATAGATTGAATTTCCGCGGGATGCATTTGTCTAATCGTAGTTTTTTGCATCTATTCAATAATATTTTAGGTTGTGTAGGCTGTAAATATAATGTATGTACTGTACATTGTATTCATATTTGATAAATTGTACATATTTTTTTTCCCAGCACTCTTTAACCAAAATACCCCACAGCTATGTACCAAATATTATGAGTTTTAGAGACAAATACCTGTGAGACTTTTTGGATCAGTGCAGATTCAGGCGTCTCCCCGTCCTGGTCCAAGACTTCAAACACTTCACCAAAGTCACAAAACAACTGCCTGAATACAGAAGGCAGAGTGTCAGAGTGAAATACAGGGAAGATACATACATTTACTAATCTTTGGATCACATGATGTGTTTTCACCCGCAGAGTCCTTTGGTGTCTGCAACAATGAATTTAATCCCATGTGAATGGCAGACGTCTCCAAATCTCTTCTGGTCATCCAAAGACGAGTCAGTGAGGACCACTACCTGCAAAAGGAAACAAGAAATACATACTTTAGCAAGAAGGCTCTATTAATACTTGTGCATCAATGAGTAAAGAACAAAAACAAACATTAAGCATAAAGTTGTTTCTACAAAACATGCATGAATTTAAAAGCTTTGCTTTTTATCAAGAGCTAAAAAATATTCACAGCCTTTAGTGCTGATGTAATTGTTTTGATATGCTACTTGTAATGTTTCCTAAATTCTAAAAGTGAAAGAATCTGGTTTATTAGACTTTCCCAATTGTTGATAGAATTGGCAATCATTTATTCTATTATATATTTTTTCAACTGTAAAACTGGTCTGTAATTATTCAGCATTATTCAGTGATCACCTGAAACTGTAGCAGTAGTTGTTGGTCCAGAGCTCCAGAGTGCATTGACACATGGACAGCAGGATTCAGGGCCTTGAGCTGCTGCAGCGAACACTCAGCTCTGTTCTGACTGATGCTGGACTCACTCAAGAAAAACTGAAACCACACAGGATTAAAAACTTGGATGAAACAATCAGACAGTATGAACCAATGACCAATAATTTGTGAGGAAAATTGCAAGTTGCATTGTTGTTTACATTTTCTTTGTTATTTCGCCATTGGACACTATATAGCAGCGCTTCCAAACCAGAGTGACTTCTAGGGGTAAGCCAGGCTATCACATGGGGTACTATAATGGGCAATAACAAGGCTTTTTTACTTTTGGTCCGATACTGGTTCAGACCTAGTACTATAGTAAGCACATGTTGTAATTTTATCAAAATAATTTACAAAACTCAAGTTATATAAGTAAAAATAAAAATACCATAATAAAAATAGATTTAAAATAGAATGCAATAAAATAAAATAAACAGATGCAGATGATTAATTAAAAACAAAGTTTCCCTGAAACAACAAATATATTGGTGTAAAAGTAAAGTTATTATTGTCCCCCTGTCCAAAAAGATTGTCACCCCTGGGGTAAAGGGTATTAGTGCCCTGTCTACACAGAATGCTGTAACCTATCCTCTGAAAACATCATAGATTGACTATTCTCTGACAGGCAGCCCGCCGCCAAAAAAAGGCATTTTATCAATTGCACGAACACTGTTTACATAGATTACACTGTTTCCTCTTCTGACCTTCAACATCTTTTCCTATAGTACAGTTCATGCACCTGTGAGGAGAGGTCCTTCCACTGTGCCAATCCTTCGTCCTGCACAGTGACAGACTTGACTCCGGCCAGAATAACATTCTTGGCAACCTCCACACCGAGCCCCCGCATCCCTGCAATCAGCACAGAGGCAGAGGCCATCCGCTGCATGGCCTCACGCCCCAACACATACCTGCAACAGAGACACTTCACCATAAACTGAATGATATTACCTCTTATTTATGACTATAAAACATGTCTCTTATACAGCCAGGAACACCTCAAGCCACATTATAATTAGATTATTTAAAGTCTAAAAGCTTCATGTTTTCATTACACACACAAAAGTAGGTAAGCAAAATGATCTTGTTTTCAAAAGATACAAGAAATGTGTCGCTTGAAATGAGAAAATAATGCTACAGTTCTTGAAGTAAGACTAAACGGCTTGTTACATTGGCAAAACCACTGGATTCAGTTATTATTATTATCATATTTTATATTTTTTAAAACTGTGAGGCTTACATCTCCACAGCCTTGACATGGATATTATCTCTCACAGTAAAGCAAAACTTATATCTTCATGTAAAGAATGTATTTTACTGTTCTTTAGAATCATGTAAGTGATCTCTAAGTTACAGTAGTTTCCAGAAACTTTAACAGCAAAGCAGGTCTGTATAGTTACTTGAGTGACAGCCCAGTTTTGGTTTCTATTTCTACAGTGGTGAGTACAAAAGAATAAGGCCCTGAAACAATATTACACAGGCACTCGCTGTGTAGCTGTTTTGTGGCTAGTTATAGACGTACAATTATAAATATGATATTTATTTTAGCTTGCTTTTGTTCTTTTTGTACTTTAATTGCAGGCTTTGGGAATTTATGATCGCTGGTGTGATGGGTATTATTATTCAGTCGTAAAAATAAATGACATTTGTTTCTTGGCCCAGGCCGTGGCTCCCTCCTGGAAGGGTTGGTCCCTGATTGTGTTGCTATAATCAATGGAGGCAAAGACCTCTGCTAATATAGGAACAGAACAGGTACATGCATTTCGCTTCAATGGTGTAACGAAGGCTGTTCGTTACTTACAGTTGTCGAGAGTAGAAGCCTTCATCAATGGTTTCCATTTTGTACTGATTTAGAAATACCCTGAAACACCCTTCGAGCCAAACTCAGAAGACACGAAACGTAAGTGAATGACAGTACATTACTTTACTTTCGATTTGCGGGAAATAAATGATATTATTATCTGTCCACTTGAGGGCAGTAGAGGACTGACTAATACATTACACCAAGACTCCCAGGATTCTGAAACTACTAGAGTTAGAACTCCCATTTATACCAATGAAATTCTGATAAATGTACCCAAAAATGTTCATCAGATAAATGTAAGTAATTTAAAAGGTATTTACCTTTACTCAACTTTAAATTAAAGTGCAAAAACTGGTGAATAAAACTTGAAATACAACAAAGGCTAAATGCTAACTGCTGACAGTAAACGACGTGTTGCTATGGTAACTAGGTCTGCTCTTCCCGAGGAGTTAAAGGTAGAATCTCTCACAGAAGATATAATTTCTGAAATATCGACATAGAAATAAACTACACATAAAGACAGAATAAGTCATAAAGTTACTAAGACTCAAAATGTACATACGCCATGTAATTACTCTTCCAAAACTAAAAGCCGTCAAATTGACTACTCTTGGAGTTCTAAGATAAGATAAGCTAAAACTTTGTTTGTCCCACAATGAAATTGCGCACATTGCTGAGCACATTACAGCAGAATAAATGGAGGAAATAAGAGCACTCTAATCTCTGATAATAGATAATAAAACAAATTCATAATATAATGAAATAAAACTTTGGAGTTAAAATTCAACTATGTGTGCTCTTTATTCCTTCTGTATATTTATCTTGTTTTCATGGTTTAACATAAAGGTGATTATTTTACTATCTAGGAGTTCAGGCTCTAATTTCTATAAGATAAAACTAAGCAATATAAGATTTAGGAAAAACTGTAAGCTGTTAACCCAAAATGCTATTATTGAAATATGAAATTTGTACTTCAATGCAAGATGTCTCTCATTCTTACAGTTGTGCTTGAAAGTACAGTTTACAGACCTCGGCAGCATTTGGAATTTTTTTGGGGGCATCTTTCAGAGATCTTGAATAATAACGGAGTTACAAATTTATTTTACTATTTTTGTCACAGAAGTGTACCAGTCAATCTACATTTCCACACTGACCTATATGGTCATGAGCTTTTGAGCTTTAGGTAATGACTGAGAGACAATTGAGCTGGAGGAAGTGTGTGTGGACAGGGAAGTCTGGGCGTCTGTTTGGACGGATGAATCGATGGATAGATGGATTTATTGTCAAATAAACATAAACAATACACAGAAAGAACTCTTCCGACCCTGATCAGAAGTTTCCCCTGTGTATTGACCCTTTAATATCTATAACAGCTTGTAAAGTCTTCATCATTTTAGTTATAACTTAAAGAGAAAACACTTCACAAAATATGGCTTCACACAACTATTAACAATGAGTGGGGAAAAATAATCAGTGTCACATATTGTTCAAATATGGTCAAAATCTCTGGCTCGGTTTGTAAATGTTCAAGCACAACTGTGCGTCACAATAATAATTATATTTGAAAATCTCAGTTTCTCAAACCATCTCAGTTCTAATGCGGTGACATGAAAGTGTTATGTATTATTAATGAATGTTTTATAGTATTTCCCCTGAGACAGAAGCACTTTAGTCCAGCCGCCCCACCCAAAGTGCTGCACGTTTGGACTGATAATACCGTATCATATCCTTCTGTGGACGTCACAGCTATGAAGATTACGTCCAGTCACTGTTAGTTGTGCCTGGATATTGTCAAGAATGATTCATGTCTTTGGAAAAAAAGAGGAAGCTAATTCAGACTGGGACTCAGTATACTTAGAGACGTTTCAGAATAATAGCACTTGAGCAATTGTATAGGTGCAACCATTTCACTTCTTTTACCAATGAAATGAGTAAAAATATTTAAGCACAATAGATTTACAAATATAGGCAAAGTTAGAAATATTTGTCCATCAGTGATGCCAAGTTTATTTTGTTTTATGACAACTGTAAGTATGTTGGTTCTATTTAATCATGTATAGACTTCGAGTCTCACAAATAAAGATAATAATAATAAAAACAATCATAATCATAATAATCATAAGCACTAAGATGCAACCAATCCAGCCTGTCGATTGATTGGCTGTTTAGTTCATAATATAGAAAGCCCTTATTATAATCTGTGAATGAATTAATGAAAACCACAAGAGTGTCTTTGGTCATAAAGTGTGCTGTGATATTTTATAATAGGCCAGTAAGTATGAAAGCAATCTACTTACGTCTTGATTGAGTCACAAAGCACTTAAATGTTGAGGGCATTTTTTTTTCTGTCACACCCCACAGTGATTGGAGCAGGGTCACCATGCGGGAGGCGTAATCCGGACCTATCGAAACCACGTGGACATGGGGAGAACATGCAAACTTCACACACAAAGGCATCTGGAGGTAGAATGGAGCCTATGAGCGTATACGTGATTAATCAAGATAATAGAACAAACCATGAAGATAGTCTTTCTTTTTTAGTGTGGAGGAGGCTTCAGTCCCCCTGCCTGCCCAATGAATGAATGTTGAAATACTGTCTGGAACATTATAAATTACTCAGACGCGTCTTGACCTTTGAATTCATAAGTAGAAGTTTAACTTGGATCTCTGTCAACAGCATCATCTTTACTATTCCCAGGCCAGGCCCCACAATGGCTCTAATGTAATGGCAGTGTGATTGTTTTAGTGCAGATTGTATTAGGTCAGTGAGGCTGAAGTGGAGGATCAGCTGCAGAAGGGACATTCCTCTCATAGTTTGCGCTCTTCTGCTCTTTTACTCATATTAAAGCCATGCACTCTGCAAACACACAGAGCGCACTTCCTTGGAAAAAAAAGATAAGATAGTTTCCGTCAAGTTACATTTTTGCACAGAGGAAACTGCACTAACATATTATTTTTGGAGCAGTCAAAGTATAGATTTCGCAATGTTTCCTTACTTCCTTGTCCCAGGCGCGGCTCAATGGACCATATCAAGCCCATATCAAGCCTCACAAAACAATCACGACTTCCGAGGACAAAAACACAAATTATGTATATTCCCAACTCTGAGCACAAAGTTCTTTGACACATCTGGTAATAGTAACACTGCAAGTCAACAAAATATAATAATAAAAAATAGCTTGTGTATTACTACTGCTGCTATATCAAAGTCAATATGTAGGCTTTGAAGAGGTGTGGGATAAAAGGTACCCATTGATCTATTGTAATATCGGAGGTACCTAAGATTATTTTTATTTTTCATAACAATACATTCTGTTTGACCCAAAAGAAAGTTCACTTTAACATTAAAGGGATGCAAACTAATCCAAGACATGCAATAGTTATCTTAGATTATTTTTTACATACTTGCGAAGGTACTATATGTACAGCTATTTTTACAGCTTTTTTATTTTTGTGACGTAAAAGTGAGTTGTACCATATGATGTTGTATCGTCACTGTGGGAGGACTTTGAACCTGGCGAAGAATTAACACTTTGAGATGCTTGCTTATAAAATGAAAAACATACTCAAAGAGACACTAAGCCTTCTCCCTACTTTAAAACCAAGCCTATGTTATTAATGGCTCTGATATAAAACGTGGGTCTTGGTCTATTTATCAGTTTTGAGTAAGCAGCGCTCGCATGACGTTTTATTTTGAAAAGGCGCAGTAACAGCCCTATCCGTGTACGCAGAAAAGTTGATGGCCAACTTCAGGCTGGAGATGCGTGTGCGTAATCTGTGCCAGTCTTTCAGCGCGCTCCAGGTAAGTCCTTCACAAGATTTTATGTCAAATCAAAGATGAGATTAAATTATCACGAGAAAACATATAGGCCGCCCATATGTGGTGTGGTATCATTCAGTTATATTTTTTGTAACGTTATAACAAGTTTCATGAATGACTTAACCCAAGACACTGTTACTGCGCAGGAGGAACACGCTGAACACAAATGGTTTATTTTCCACCAAACGCAACAAAACGTTTCTGTATGTGTACAACAGTCAACACGTTACATGTGTTTACTCAAAACTTCCTCATTCTCTCTACTCTCTGCATTTCCATACACTCACTCCACGAGCTCCAACACGTCCTGTCCTGTCTCCTACCTCAATAAATTATTTCAGCCGTGAGCTTTTAAGTCACCTGCGCTTTCACTTTTACACACTGTGGTATAAGCAAACCCCTCTTGAACACTTTGTAATGCCTAAATTATCATTAGAGAGGAATAATTAAATAGAGTTGTAAAGAAAAGTCTTGATGACTATCATAATTATGTAATAGCTGGAGTTGGCGTAGTAATTTGTCCGGTGGAAAATACCACTTGATTGTTTCCCTGTTGCGTGGAATATTGCAGGAATATAATTCTGCAATATAGCTTCATACCGTTAATTGTGTTTCAAATGCAAACACTAATGCTTTTTATAGCTTCGAACATGGGCTATATGAATATAAATCCATGTATTATTCAACTGGTGACATGCAAATAAAAAGGATAATACTCAACATGCCAACTTGTTCATGGAGAAGAGTGGCAGACCCTATGACATCACCATCATTTTAGATTCCTGTTCTCATACAAGATTTTCTAATGTTGTCACTATTCTAAACTTATACTAGCACGATGTATTCTTTATTGAAAACTTACATGTGATCTTCCACAGAGCTCCTGCTGATGTTCCAGAATGTTTCCATTGCAGACCGTGTCTTGTAGGTGACATTTACACGCCTCATATTGACTGGCTTGGAGATGATCAAGTGGACCATCTTACTATGGATAACACTATGGATATCTCAGAGTGTCCTGGGACAGCAGCAATGTCCCAATGTTGTACATCAGCAGGAAGATTTCAGTATAATCTACCCAAAGCTCACTTACTACCAAACGGAAAAGCCCATTCAAAATATAGTGGTAAACACAGATCAAAAACAGATATATATTGGATCTCAGAATATTATTGAAAGCATTGATAATGACTTCCTTAAAGTTTGGGATGTGAAAACTGGTCCTGTTGGGAGCCCGGATTGTCAAACCTGCAATTTGTGTGAAATTGAAATAGACCCTGCCAACCCAGTGGACACCGATAATGAAGTTTTACTCCTGGATTCTGCTGGATCTCTTTACCCCTATCTGTATGTGTGTGGGAGCACTCAACACGGGTCATGTTACATGATTGACTATATGGAACCACAGACAAAACCTATGTGTCTTTATAAATCATCACAGAACGATCCATCTCGCTGTCCGGATTGTATCGCCAGCCCACTTGGGACAACTGTGACAATAGCGGAACAAGGTGCCACCTCCCTTTTCTTTGTGGCAAATACAGTCAATGATAAAGTGACTGAAAAATATCCGAGACGGTCCCTCTCAGTGCTCAGGCCACTTTCTACTGAGGATGGATTTGAGCTGGTAATGAGTGGACTGACAGTGCGTCCTGATTTTAGACAATCATACAAAATCGATTACATCTACAGCTTTTCCACCGAGGATTTTGTGTACTTTCTATCTCTGCAACGAGAGGATGCAACAAAAAGCAAATCTCCTTTCCGCACGCACCTCGGCCGTCTGCCTGTGGACGTTAATGAGGTTTGGATGTACAGAGAAGTGGTGCTTGAATGTCGATTTGTCCCCAAACGGAGGAGGAGGGAAGCTGTAAGTAACGTGGTGTACAACGGACTACAGGCCGCCTATTATGGACATGTCGGAGGCGAGCTGGCGAAACAACTGGGTTTGGATGTGAATGAAAAGGTGCTCTACGGGGTGTTTTCTCCAGTCAGTGAAGCAGGACATACAGGAAGAGAGTCGATGTTGTGCCTATTTTCATTGAAACAAGCGAATCAGGCCATAGAGAAGGGAGTGGAGTCTTGCTGCACGTCTGGAACAGAGCAGCTGTCCAGGGGCCTGTGCCACTTCCAGACGTGTGAGAACTGCCCACATGAGGTGAGCTCTTTCATTCAACTACTGTTGTCATGGCGTACAGACACAAAATAAACAATTTATCAAATATTACCATGTGCTGCTAGTATTGACAATTCTTAACTGATTATACTTACACAACTATTGCACATAGAACAATAATCACAACTACTACAACAACTAATAATAATAATACTAATAATGATAATAATATTTTTTCTGTAATGATTAGTTTTTAGGAGAGTTTGTGTAAGCTCTCAGTCGTTAGGTATTTTTTTTTTTTTTTTAGGATTTGTGAAGTTGTGTAACAGAATGGCTTGTTATTGTAGGACAGTTGCCCACTCCAGTGACTCCTGTGTCTCCAACAATTATTCAGACATTGGCCACAAACATGATTCAACAGGACTTTTAAGAACTGACAATCTGCATGTTTCGAGTCTGTTTTGTTTATGATAATCCAATCCAATCCACTTTATTGCTTATTTCAATACAAAACTATACAAAAGATTAAAATAAATTTGTAAATTGCAGTAAGGAAACTTTTGAAGTAGTTTACGTTCCTGGTAAAATGTTCCAGGTGTATGAGTGTTCAAAGATTTAGACCTGGGAGGGGCCGATGACTCAGAGCACTGACCTGCACCTGAAACGCAACTCTTATTCTGTTCAGAACTTCAGTTTGAGCCAATTCATCAACTTGAGTCGCTGCACAAAATGGTTTACTATAAAATAATACAGAGGTGTGGTGCCGAGACTGTCCTCGAGCCCGAAAGGAATGTGTGCGAGCAAACAGCGGTCATAAATCTACTGATAAAACCAAGGATTTTAAACTGGGGCAGCGTGAACATGGACCACTAATAAAAGTTTAAGAGAACAGGAAGCATGGTAGTTCTTCAATCCTACACACTTCAAATGTTTATGTTTGATTCTTCCCTAACCCTAAACAGTAATGCATCCACAGTAGGTAGCCAACAGTATGTCCAAAAGTGTCAAAACAATTTAAACTATAATTTCGATGAATAGTATAATTACAAATTTGCAAAAGAACCATAATCACCAGCAGCGTCTCCAAGTAAAACACACACACAAATATGATAAAGCATTAATAATGTATGAAAGATGTGGATTATCACCACCTTTCCCCTGTAATAACCAAGATTTGTATAACTAACTTCACATAGCTAAATTAGAATAAAATGAATTAAAGGCATTTAACATGTTATGCTATTTATTTTTTTATTTTTTTTATCATTAGAAGCTTTTCAAAACAGCAGCAAAGTTTTGTTTTCAAATCAGCATAGTAACCAGAAAATGCCATCAATGGAGATAATATTAAAGAGGTGCACCACAACAGCAGAGGCAGAGGAAAAGGCAGCGATGACAAATGGGACTCAAATCCAATAGAAACTATGACAAACCACTGGTCATCCTGGACTCAGGCTTGAATTATTTATTAGGTCTTTGTAGTGAAGGTTCTTATTGTTGGTCCTCAGTCCTGTTCTGTGTTGTGAAGTTTGAAACACAGCGTTTTCATTCTTGAAATATGCTATATATATTTTGGCATGTTACCCACTTTGATTGGTTTACTTATGTTTAGTTATACTAATAAATAGTATGTGAACATAAAGAAAAAAAAGCTGGAGATTCTTACTTACTAAAAAAAAACATTTTGACCACAACAAATCTGACCACAACACATGCTGTCTTTTGTTAGAACACTTTTTATACTTTAGGTACTAACTGTTGATTGGCTTAAAATAATGATCTAAACATGTGACAGAGGCCAAAAAAAACAGTGATGGAACTGGTTTTGAGCGGTAACTTGGATTACATTACCGGTACATTGTTTGTTTGTGGTGTGAAGTTAGGTACTTCAGCTTTACTGTATTATGCATGCAGCACATACCTGCCTTGCTACTAATCTGCTTCACCTTTAATTAGTTATTGATGTTTGCAGCTGCAGTGAAAGTTGGATTGTGATTTTTTGAAAGGTTTGAAACAATGTAATGGTTTGAGTGAAAAGATCAAACTGGTCTGGAGCGACAGACGTGGGCATGCTCTGACAGGACTCTTTGTTACTGAGAGCTGGAATGTTTACCTTTAGTTTACCACCTCCTGTTTTTACATTAGATCAACATTTTGAAGTGTGTTGAGTCATATCATTTCCCAGTCATAGTCTGTACATGGGTAATCATTTACTTACAAAGTGTTAATATACCTTGTATTATTGCAAATCTCTCCTCTGTGGGACAAGGAAAGGTTTTCTTATCTTATCAAATAGGATTGCCAATTTACAGATCAGCTGGCAGCACCCGCTTCTCCCCAATCACAAGACAAATTTAGAAAAGAATGGTCTGAATATATCAAACGGGTAAAAAGGCTTCTTTCTGGGCAGCAACATACTCACATAATATGTATCATTTTGTTTCATTCTCTTTTTTATTGAGTCAGGCTTCTTGCAAGAAATATCAATTCAGTTAGTCGTCATGGATGTATTATATTATCTGGAACCTGATAATATAATGCATCCATGATGACAAACTGAATTGATATTGTTAGCTGAAGCTGGGTCCCTGCATGATGGTAGACCAGCCGGGGTACTCCAGACCAGAAGACTGGTCTGGACTGACTACTCAAGGTCAGTTGCACTTGCCATGAGAAAAGGCCTTTCATTTGAACGGGCAGAAGACCGCTGGGCCTTGACTGTCCTCAGCTTCCACAGATGAGCATTTTGTTGGTTGTAAAGATTGTCATAGCTCCTCCTCTGTTGCTTCCCTGTAATCCAACAATAAAACCATAAATTCCAGTTCAGTTGTCAGAAGCTTCAGTGCACATTTTTACTAATTACAACATTATAACACAGCACAGGAGAACAACATGCTTAACTCGTTGACTGTCATTGACTTATTTGTCTGCAACTGGTGATTTCTGTCAAACTTCCCTCTATTTGACTGGGGATTATAGGACAACAAAAATAGCTAAAAACAAACCTTTCTGTGATGATGAAAATAGACAATCCAGTCTTTCAGAATCTGGTTTCACATTTAACGTAGTCATAGCACATAATATTCTGTGGGTCTTGGCAATCAGTGAAACTATCAAAAAATGGCTGGCAGTCAATGAGTTAAAAGGCTCCACCTGTTTTTCCAAGTTAGTTTTTGTAGTGTTTATATAAAATGACAACCCTTTTATGATATCATCTATTTTATTCAAATTGTTTGAATTATGCCTATGCTATTTGTATGATGTAATGCAAAGATAAAAGAAGGTCGCCCACCATTACCCTTTGACTGAATAGTAAACATTTACTGAGTCATTTCCCAAAACAGACACCCACTGAAGAAGATTCATTGTAAGGAGAGAGCCGAGTTCTAACAGTCTGTGCAGATGAGACTCAAAGTAAACTGTTGAAGACTGTAGTTTTATTACTCTGTTCACAGCATGTTGACACTGCTACAGGCCTGCACTTCCGCTGTAAATGAATTACAATCCTTTAGGCTGTGTTTAAAAGTAACATCTTGCCAACACATGAGTTTCTTGTAACACAAGTTCAATGCTGGGGTACCTAACTTTCAAACCACAAAAAGTGTAGAGAATCCATCTAACTAGCTCCCCGCTCTCAAAACAGTTGGTTCTATCACCACTTTTTGTATGTGTAGATTTTTCAGCCTCTGGGACATCTTAAGATCAACCTTTTCAAACAGAACATTTTACAAGAGTGGCCCTTCCTCACTCAACCAATCAGCTCTCAAGCATTAAAAGTGATTCACAGAGCTTCTACTAAGATAAAGACATCATGTGTGTTCTGATTTGTTCACAACGTTATACTTTACAACACTTTATGTTCAGACAAGCAAAATGTACTGGGTATTAGTTGAAAAGTTAGGTGTCGCAGCTGTAAAAAGCAAAGTTTAATTTCTTTTGTCTTTGTTTATTCTCTTCAGAACTCTAACAGTACGTGCACATTGATGCCCACGATGGTGTCCAAGCCGTTTTACCGACTGGATGTATTTAACAGTGAGATGAGAGGCGTCCAGTTCACAGCAGTTCTCATCACCATACACGAACAGCTCACTCTGGGACACTTTGGGACATCAGATGGAAGAATATTACAGGTACAAACTTTGAAATTATGTGTTTGTGTTGTCCTAACAAATTACACCCAGAAAAAAAAAACAATATGCAATGAGAAAGGAAATAATTTAACCTTTCCTGAGTTAATTTAGATTATTAGATTATTTATTTTGTTTTTGCTGAAAAAGTACCATGTATAAGAGGCGACCTATTACAGTACAAAATGTTTCCATTCATGCACAAAATTCAGCAATACCTTTCTCAAAACAGTTGCCAAATTTAATTATATTCACACCGAACTTTGGGCCCATGTTTGGAGGGCCATTGGTGACACTTAAGGACTATTATCTGAATTGTGGGAACAACCAGCAAGTTCCTTTTTTTTCTTAAAAAAAACTCCTGACGATGCGATTTGGATCACCTCCAAAATGAATCACTTGTTCACTGGACCATTGCAAACATTTTCCCAAGCATTGAGGTCGGTTGCTCACAAACAAACGCCACTGATCACTTTACCTATGTGGAGGTAATTAAATATTCATTCGTTAAATAGATAAAGCCTAGAGCACTGCAGCCTCCTTACAGAAAAATATCTTATGACCTACCTTTACTAAAGATTTCATTTAAAAAAAACATTTTTTACAAATACATACGTATAAATCTTTAAAACGTTTGAAATCCGTATTTGATTTGCTTGTGGTGTGGACCTTTGAAGGCACACAGCAGTGGATATGAGCTCCCCTTGACCCCAGGCGTCCTTCTATGTTCAGAAACCAAATGATAAAAAACCATGATTAGATTACCAGTTGAAAAAAGTAACCAGCTGGAGACTCCAGAAATTACTTAACATTTGGAGAATGAAAACACCAGAGTGGAATCCATAAATGTTTGAACCTTGTCTTTCATTTTCAATGTAAAGGAAAGGACCTGAATAGACCTTCAAATTTTGATAATGTATCTTTCTTAAGTCTTAATAATGTGGGTTGTTGTACTATAATCTCCAATGGGAGGATGTTAAAGCAATAGTGAGTTTGTATCTAAATATACTCTTCCAACTTATAATGAGTCCTTTACTTTTAGTAAAATGTAAGACAAATAAACAAGACGAATGAGTTGTGCATATTCTGCATTAGTTCGACACTGCTGTGTTCACTGTGGTGTTGTGCCGATCGTGTGACACAGACTTTTGTTTATGTTTCAGATTATTCTGACATTGTCCAGTCGCACAGTTTACGCAAACTATTCTCTGGGCGAAACTCAAGTGTCAAGAACCGCAGTGATGACCGAGGACTCCCTTCTGTTCGTGGTCGGAAACAAGGTGAACCGAATAATCCTCATCCTTTTGATTGGATGGAACTAAAACATTGTATCTAAACACATGACGATAATGAGAGTTCTTTGGTCATAATATCTATACCAAATATCCTTAGTTTTAAAAATCCATAATGTTCATGCAAAAGGCTGAGATTTTTTTTTTTTAAAGAACTACTCAAATGTTGAACTATATTTTTTTCATTAGGGCCTCAAACTTATCCAAGTTTTGATGTTACATTTTTAAGCATTTTGATGTGTGTCAGATGTACAAAAGCTGCCATCTAAAAGGTACTCAACATAATACACCAACAAATCATAATCTTTCCTCTAGTTATATTTGTGCCACAGAGTATTGGAATCTTGTGAACCGAACATATACAAAACTACCCTACAGTATATTTTTAACACTTTCCCAGTCATTTATTTGAGTGTACAGTCTCTTAAAATTATCAATTTCACAGTGACAATTATTTTTGAAGAAATCCAAACAATTATTACCTGCACTTTTTAACCTTTTTTATTCCTGTACTTTTACCTGTCCTTTTTTATTTACCTTGTTTTATTTATATCCTCATTTTCATTTGGGTTTCATTTTGGGCATTTAGAGCTTCCACCCAATGCTCATAGCACCAGACCCTCGCTGATCCTCCTGCGGGTGGTGGGTCCACAGGAAGATGGCTGCTCTGTCAATGGAGACACAGACTTGGTCTTTCAGCAGGAACTTCAGTTAAGTGTCATGGGATTGAGCCCATGACCTTCAGGCCCAAAGGCCAATGCTCTACCAACTGAGCCACTGTCACCCCTTGAAGGGGTTTTACTGCAAATTTCAAATACAATGAACCTGTTATTTCAGCTGTTCAAGGTGCCCTCCACTGGCCCTGGCTGCACTCACTTCATCACGTGCGCTAAGTGTCTGACCGCTCCCCTCTTCATGAAGTGTGGCTGGTGTTCTGGTGGTTGCTCCCGACAACATGAGTGCAGCTCACACTGGAGCCAGGACACCTGCTCCCCCGTCATCACTGAGGTACCTCACGATTATCAACTGCAACCTGTTTTCACCTTATTATGATAATATAAGATAAGATCAACTTTATTGATCTCACACAGGAGAAATTAAACACTAGGACTACCATAATTCTCAATGTACAACAACTCCCAAAGCAGTAAATTTTAAGGCTCCCATTCGAAATGATGAAATTCTGAAAAAATACCCCAAAAAGGTTTTTGGTTTTCAATGCTTTTTATTAACGATTAAGTAATTCATACAGTATGTTTTTCATCTTTTATCTTCCATCTGGGCTGAGTGGATAGCACTCTCGCTTCTCAGCACAGAGGTCCTGGGTGCGAATTCTGGTCGGAACAGGGCCTTTCTGAGTGGAGTTTGCATGTTCTCCTGTGTCTGCATAGATTTCCTCCGTGTGCTCCGGTTTCCCCTACCACTCAAAACATGCACGATAGGTGTGAATGTAATGAGTGAGTGAATGAATGGTGTTACTTGGGGCTTTGATGTGCCAGAGTGTTCAACGTCTTGCTTCTGTCATCACTGTGTGGAGTGAATTAAAAATATCTGAACTCTGAACATTGTAAAAAGCTTTGGGTGATCTTGGTCTGTAAAAATGCGTTATATAAATAAAGATTACTTACATGGTAAAACTGGGTAATGAAATACAGAAAAACTAAATGCTAACTGCTGCAAGTAAACAGTGTGTTGCTATGGAAACTAGCACTTTCTGCAAACTGAGATCAGCCCTATGTTCACCGTCTAACTCATGTGTAGACGATTATGCTGTCACCTTAGAAATGCGACTGTGTGATGGATTGTGGTCGGGGAAGCTGTTGCCACAGAATGACACATGATGAAATAATAGATAAAATAATATATTTTGTTGTTGTTGCAGTTTTACCCTAAAGTGGCCCCTGCTGGCGGGGAGACTGAACTGACGCTGTGTGGATTTGACTTCGTGACACGGCCGTCTCTGAGCATCACTGACCAAACTCACATGATCACTGTGGGGACAGAAGGCTCCTGCTCCCCTCTGCCCACACAGAGCAGCAGCACAAAGTAAGTCATACAAAACAGGAGGACCTTTCAAATAAATGATCAGTTATGAATGAGAAGTGTAGACATTTCACTTTCCTCTCAGACATTTAATTTGACTAAACACAATTCTACATACTAGATCTACATTCTATATTCTATATTATTTTGTGTTGTTTCATGTCTTCATTCGTTTATATTTTTCCTCTGGGTAATATCATATTTTATCACATACTGTATATCAATATTGTTATTCAAAGAGAAAATGAAACAAATTATCTGAGGAAAGGCAGAAACCTTGTGACCTGAATACATTTTTTGACAACAATATTGAGTGTGCAATAATAATGAAACCACTTTTGATATGTGCAATATCTACTTTTAAAATGTATTAAATGATCAACCTACTATTCCTTTTCTTGACCAATAATATTACTGTGTTTCATAAAACAGACTGGTTTGTAAGATGCACAACCACAGGCCGAAGAATAATGTAAATATTACTCTACAAGTGCAAGAGACGTCAGGGCCGGGCCGCTTCACCATTCAAGGCCAAACTCAAATTCTGGGCTTGTCTTTTGTGGTAAGACCAATTACATGACACATTTTTTCCATTTCTTGCACACAATCCAATACTTTTCTCAAAACAGTTGCCAACTTTATCTGAAGTCACACCGGACTTCGGGACCATGTTTGGAGGAACGTTGGTGACACTTAAGGGCAATTATCTGAATTGTGGGAACAACCAGCAAGTCCTTATTGGAGATAAGCCGTGTATCATTAAACGGTAAATACGATAAAATAAAACAATGTTTTTTTTTATCTCACAATGGAGACATTTGCAATAACTAAATTTCATCATTATATCTATTGTAGACTATTTTCACTTTCATTTTAATATCCGTATATTTATGTTTCCTCAGTGCAAAAGATGAAAGTGAGTCGTCCTCTTTGATCGAGTGCCAGAGTGCGTCTGCAACGGCTGTGGGCAAGGTCCCTGTCAATGTGTTTATTGATAATTTTAAAGTGAACAGCTCCAAACACTTTGACTACAGAATAAATCCTTCCATCACCTCCATAGAGCCGAACTGCAGCTTTAAAAGGTAGGGTGGAAAATGATCAGGTTTACTGGAGTGACTTTATTTTTTATTTATTGTAATATGATGAATAAGTAGAATCTGTTTTCACTATAGCGGCTCCAAACTGTGGATCCAGGGCAACAACTTGACTTCCGCTCACAAAACTGTCATTCATTACAACTCACGCAACCCTTCCCTGCAGAAATCCTTTCCCCTTAAACAAGTAAGTGTTGAATGTGTTGCATTTTGGTTTTTAGAGCGTAGTGCTTGGTTGCAGATCATTACTCTTCTATTTATGTGAGTTTGAAAGATTGCTCAAGAAACTAATGCAAACGAGAATTTTTTTTTTAGTTTGGTAAGATGAAAGCCTGACCAAGAGTTATATTGCTTTTTTATCATTTTAGTTATTACATCTAGCTATTAAATAAAGCTTGATAGATTGTTAATAACACTACAATTTGGTAACTAGTAAAATTTAATTATAATTTGAAAATGATATTTTATCAATATAATTGATAATTGTAAAGCCAAATGTTGCTGGTTGAATAGAGTGACCTAAACATAAGGTTTCACATGTGTGTCCAGGTTTGCAGTGGCCCAGTGAATGCCTCTCATATGCAGTGCAGGACTCCAGTGTTTCCGGAGGATCTGCTTCAGGATAAGTCGGACTCAGGACGTCTGTCTGTTCACATGGACGGAAAGGATTTCCTGTGGCCTGGCCGCTTCGACTATCATCCCGACGCCAAAGTCATCCCCTTTGAGAACGATGACCGTCTGTTACTGCTCAAGCCAGGGGACACAGAGGTGTCACTGCACGTATGTATTCAACTGACCAGACATTCATCGACTACTACTTCAGAAAGTGCACTATTATGTCACTGTTGCATCACCATTTATAGAACAGTAGGAATGAGGAGTACACAGCACGAGATAAGAACATCAAAAGTCGTGTAACTGTTGCTCTATGGCGTTACCTGGAACGTTCCTCAGTTTAGTTACAATACGTGTTAACTGTGAGTGGCATCAACTCTCTCCAGCAGCAGTTCCCAAACTCTGGCTTCTCAGGAGGCTGCTCAACCTCATACTCCACAGGGTTGGTGCTTTTAAGAATTTGGGGTATACAAAACAGAGCAAGTCTAATCCCGGGGGAGGAACACTGCATGTTATCAAATGGAAGGTGTAACTTTCTCGAAACTATCCACACATTGATTATTTATGAACACATTTACATTTTTCATAACAAACAAGTAAGTTAATGTGTTCAAGAAATTATTGACTTCATTACTTTTTAGCACCACAAGCTGAACACCTGTATGAAGATCGTCATGACGATTGGAGGAGTGGATTGTAACGTTCAGGTTTTGTCCAACGAGCTCACCTGCAGAATCCCTAAAGGAGTTGTCATTCCCACAGAAGGACTGCCAGTCAACGTGAGGATGCTTCTGCTCACAAAACACAGAAATCACAGTAAAGCTGGGAATAAACACAGCAAGCGATATCACTGAAAAACATCTTCAATCAATATAAAATGGACTTGTTTAGGACAAACTCAGATGCAAAGTGACATATGCAAAGACTTTTTTGTAATGATTTTGTTGATTTTGGCTTATAGTACATTTTTTCATTTCTCATATTTTTACAATCTGTGAGCCAAATATAAATAGTCACATATTAGTTTTACTTTGTACAATGAAGTAAAAGCAACAAAAATATTTGTATCGTTTAATTTTCCGAGTTCATCTGTGTTAATGTAGGTCATTACTCAACAGGCAGCTGTTCAGCCCCAAACCTTTTATAAGAATATTGTTATTTCGTAATGGGGGCACTTTGCAGCTTCATCATCATGAACACAACTACAAACTTACGTTTATGGAGAAAATGCATTTTTGAAACCACTGCATTCTGTTTTGATTTACATGTTACACACAGAGTACTCTATATACACATGTTAATTATTTGCATAGTTGTCTATTTATGTAATCTGAACTCTATTATCACTTGTATTGTCTGCTAAAGGTAATTGTGAACGGAGAAGAGCACAACGTGGGGACAGTGCTCATCAATGAAGGCAACAACAGCACCGTGATCGTTGGAGTCTTGCTGGGAATCCTCTTTGCTTTAGTCGTGGGAGCGTTATTTGCATTAGGTGTCATGAAACATTTGAGAAAGAAAAACAGAGGTAGTGTGGTTGTGTATATTGTCTTAATAATACAAACATATATATAAAAAATGTTTTATTTAATGTTTTTTCTAACCTTCTTTTACTTGTATTTTTTCAGCTAATATTGAGAACCGCTTGTCCACAATGATTTCCCGGAGTCGAATGGGCAGCAATTATCAAATTTCTCCTACAGGTGACTACAGACGAGGTAGAATGTTTCTGTTGGTTGTCATCTTTAGATTGTGCTAACAATTCATTGATGGACTGGTTATGGACCTTTCAAGGCCAAATAGTACACTGGAAATTATAATTCATATAGACATATAAAAAGACATTATAAATATATTATGTATAGATATAGTATATATTATAAATAAGTCTTTTCTGTTTTGTTTCATTAAAATGTTGAATTAGAAGAGGAACTACAATAATAATAATAATACAAATTCACATTATATATAAATAATATATTACTTGGCTTCAAAACTACTCCCCAATGCTACAAAGTTAGAGAGGATTTGTTTAGTTGGTGGCACAACATGTGATTATAATTACACCATTCATCCATGAGCTCAACAACGATCAAAAATATCTTGGTTGAGCAATATAAATAAACAAAAAAGCAAAGAATTCTTTTTTATAACATTACTCTAAGACTCTGTCCTTTTTAAGCATTTCATATATATATTTTTCACATTCTGCTGCAGTGGATCTGTCGAGTCAGACGTCCGGCTCTGGTATGGCCTTCCAGGGCTTACTGTACGCTGCCAGCTATGACCACCTGGCTGTGCCCCTTGTGCCTCGGGACAACATCTCCATGGTCAGCCTGAGCTCAGAGCTGCTGGAGGAGGTCAAAGACGTCCTCATCCCTGCGGACATGCTCAGGCTGGAGACCAACCAGATCATTGGGAAAGGTAGGGCTTTTATGATTGTGAAATTGTGTACGAACAAGTTAGTTAGATAGAAAGATAAATACTTTGTAGATCCCGAAGTAAATTGTGCATTAGTCCCTTGCTCACATTTACACAAAAACTGCAAGATAAAGTTAAAAGAAAAAAACATTATTAAAAATTACAATGAATACATGAAAAGAGAAGGCACTGCAACACAATGTTCAAGACATTTCCCTTTCTCCTCCCTCTGCTCCGCCCTGAAGTGGCTTTAACTTTTCCTGAACTTAAAGTCCCAGGCAACAGAACAGATCATTCAGATATTTAAATTATTATAGAGAAAACAGTAAACTTGATTTTGGAAAGTTATTTATTTATTGTAGCTTCAACTAATTGCAATTACTGTATAAGGCTATGGTTAAGGTAGACTATATTTCTCCCATAGAGAAATGTATTCAAAATCTGCCTTTATGTCGCTGGTCTCCTAGAGTAGGAGACCAGCGACTCTATTTAGCACACTGACATTAGCATGAGAAGGTGGGGTGGTATCAAATGGAAGATTTAGCTTGCTTGGATGTATCCACATATGGACCATTTATGAATGTGTCATAACAATCAAGTATATAAATGGGCTTTAGCGAATGTCGACTTCATCACCTCCTCCTCTGTATCTCTTTCACATCCATGTTGTTCTGTCTGACAGAACCTTAGAGGCCAAAACGTGTAAATGTGTCATTTGTATTGCATAGTGTAAAGAAGGGGAAAATAGTGTAATTTTAATTAGCCAGTCCTTAATCAAAGTATGTTAGTTTATATAGGAAACACAAATGATCAGGTGATAACTTCTTTAGTCAGTTTATACATTATTTATTCATTAATATACAAATATTCACTTGTGTTCTGTGAATTTTGATTTTGTGTATATATTTTGAACTGCAGGACACTTTGGCACAGTCTATCATGGATATTTAATTGACAGCAACAAACAAGAGACCCACTGTGCGGTAAAATCACTCAACAGTACGTATCCGGTGACCAAAACCAGCTCATTCTTTCTATTCTTTCGGGACTTATGTTTTAATAATAGCATTTATTGTCTGGTCAGGAATTTCGGATCCCAGAGAGGTGGATCAGTTTTTACGCGAGGGAATAATAATGAAAACCTTCCATCACCCTAACATTCTGTCTCTGCTGGGCATCATGCTGCCTAAAGAAGGGCTCCCCCTAGTGGTACTGCCTTATATGAAACACGGAGATGTACGCCACTTCATCCGTTCAGAGAAAAGGGTGAGGATTCTACTTTTTATTGGAAACTTATCATCATTATTACTGGATCTTCATTACTCTTCATGATGCTCCACAGAATCCCACTGTGAAAGATCTGATAGGATTTGGGCTGCAGGTGGCCAAGGGCATGGAGTATTTGGCTCAGAAGAAATTTGTTCACAGAGACCTGGCTGCTCGAAATTGCATGTGAGTTTATTAATCATTTACCCAATCACTACTATGGGCCTCATTTAACAAGTGTTTGTCCATGTTTGAGAGTCAGCACCACTTACAATGTCTGAAAATTGATTTATTATGCACTTCATCTTCGGCTCCAGTTATAAAAGTACAAAAAGGCTAAGGCATGCATAAAAAGAAACATAATCTACATGACATTTCTTAAAATTACTACTATACATAAGTGCAGTAAGTACACACTATGACCCCTTCAACACAGTTCTATGATTATTTAGATCCACAAAAATATCTGTGACAATTTTAAGGTGACAGTCACTTATCAATGAACAATAAGATGGAAAGTTTTAACACCCTTTCACACATAAAGGCGCACTTTATTAACTCCCCGTAGGTAAATTCATCCTCTGCATTTGACCCATCCTAGTACAGCGCTCGGGAACGTCCTAGCGCCCATATAGGACATACAGCATTTCATTATGTTTTTTATGTTTTGAGGTTTCTTTTGCCCAGACACATCAGCATAATACTTAAATTTGAATGTATTTTTGATTTGAACCATATACATTTCAAACATTAACAGTATATTTTACACATTTTCTCTCGTTCTGATGGTCCAATATCATTCAAAACATAAAAAACTAACACAAGCACACACTCATCAAAGTGATTAATGATATTGCTCTAAATACGATAACAATTTTAACTTAATTCCCAGGCTAGATGAAACCTTCACTGTAAAGGTGGCGGACTTCGGCATGGCCAGAGACATATACGACAAAGAGTACTACAGTATACAAGATCACAAGAGGGTGAAGTTACCAGTGAAGTGGATGGCCATCGAGAGCCTCCAAACACAAAAGTTTACCACCAAATCTGACGTGGTGAGTGTCAATGATTCGTCCATCTACACACCTCTCTTTTTTAACATACACACATGACTTTTGTGCCACAGTGGTCGTATGGTATCCTGATGTGGGAGCTGCTGACCAGAGGAGCCAGTCCATATCCAGATGTGGACCCCTACGACATCACACATTATTTGCTGAAGGGACGGAGACTTCCTCAACCTCAGTTCTGCCCCGATGGACTGTGAGATATTTTACTTTTTCGTTTGTGTCTCTGCCTGGCCTTTGAGCTTGAGGAAACTGCTCATATATCTGGAAATCAGTGAGCCGTGAGATAGAAGTCAAGAAGTGAGGAATGTTCACCAGCTGATCAAGCCTGGCCAGTTTTTTTTTTCTCAAGTGAAACCAGTTCTTGTTTGGCAAGTAAATAAAGACAAATATAACACAATACACGTTTAAACTGTATTAAAGTGTATTGTGCAACTTTTATGTTTAAAAAGTTTATGTTTTTGCTTATTTGACCCATAAACTCTATATAATATGACATAGCTAACTTTCTAGCTCACTGAAGACCAATGGGAAACTGCTCAGGGACAGCTCAAGTTTTGCCCCAAATTCGCTCTGGTTCCCATTGTAACTGTTTATATCACACTCACCAAACAATCAGTGATTTAACGGTCTTTATGATCCTGGTGTTTATATTTTAAATACTGTCTTCGTAGACATGAACCATATGAGGATTGACCATTCAATTCAAAAAACCACTTTTTGTGCAGTGGTTCCTCAGCCTAGAAAGACTTCAAAACAATTGATCCTAAAGCATCTTAGAGACCACTGTGATGGAACATAAAGGGGCCACGCAGCCACTAAAAGGTCAAAAAATAAAATAAGAAGAAAACCTTCATTTGGCCCGCAGTGGGAACATTTTACATACATTTTTTCCCTTTGATTCACATCTCTTTCATTTTGTGATATATTTTAATATTTTACATTTAATACATTTTACTTAGACTACAACAGAAACATTCTGATTGACAGAAGTGTTTGACATTGTTTGTCATTATAAAGCTTTTTCTTCTGGGCCTTGTCAATCAATGCTTGTTCTTTTTCATTGCGTCAAAAATTGCAGGCAAAATAGTCCATTTCCATGGAGAATAGAATGTTTCACCAAAATAAACTATATATCCGTGAGGAACTTCACTTACACCAGCGCAAAGAGAGATATCAGCAACAACAAAAATGCATTGTTACATTAGAGAATAACTCATAACTCATTATTCCCCAGTCAGCTGTGTAGCAGGTGGATTAAGGCAGAGAGGGAGGTGGAAATAGCTCTGATCTTGGTAATCCCATAAAGAACTATACACAACAGTATGTTAAAAGCATATTGTTATTTTGGATTTATAACAATTCTGCTAGAATTATCTTGAAATGTAAGTGTTTGTGTTTGTTTTGAAACACTTATTTATTTGATTCCAGATATGCACTGATGCTGTCGTGCTGGGACCCTGAGCCCGACTGCAGACCTTCTTTTCATTGCTTGGTGTCGGAGGTGCAGCAGATACTGTCCGGTCTGGAGGGGGAGCACTACATTAATCTCAAGGTCACATACGTGAACCTGGACCAGCCCAGACCCTATCCCCCCATGCCTGACTCCGCTGACGAGCTGTCCATGGGGTCTGACATGGATTCACACGGGAACAGTGAAAGTGAGGATTGAAGATTATGGGACGGTGCTCTGGATTACGTGGAAAGCAAGTGAGAGTAAATACCTGTTTAGAAAACTTTGGGATAGAACCCGCTCACATGCGCTCTTCTCTGAGTGGACTGAAGACAGCAGCGGAGGACTTCTGACCGTGCTCAACCAATCAATCAGTTTTTTTTATGTGGAGTGGTGCTAATCCCTTTTGTACACCCGGCAACTGTAGATAAATGCACCCCAATTTATAGATAAAAAATAATATTTTCCAGGAAACAATTAACATTTACTGTTTTATAGAAACAAAGATAATTTACTGTATTATCGGAATTCCAAAGATGCCTGAGCCATCTCACCTGGCTCCTCTTGATGTGGAGAAGCAGCGGCTCTACTCTGAGCTGCACCTCGAGTTCTCATTCTATTTCTAAGGGAGCACCCAACCACTGTGGAGGAAACTCATTTCGAGCACTATCTGCGACCTCACCCCTTCGGTCATTACCCAAAGCTCAGAACTTATGATATATAAGACGTGTTCAAACAAAGTGATTATATTATAATCTGACAATAGTCAACAATGGTTCAATGTCAACATTAATTTGCATATTTGTAAAATATGAATTTGTTCATCTAAAATACCCCCACATGAAGGAAATCACATTTCATTCAGTTTCCATAATGTTTGAGGGCAGACAGTCAGTGAACCCGAGCCTTCACAGCTGCCTTCACTGAGCGATGCTGCAGCAACCAGTGGCACCAGCTCAGAAGGTTCTGTTGTTTCAAAGAAACCATAAATCCTGGTTCATAGTTAAAAATAGCATCTGTTCTTATTGTAATTAAAATTATTTCAATAAAAATGATTTAAGCATATTCAAAAGTGTAGGTGACTAAAATGGTACGTGAGCTTGAATGATTGTTGGACATTTAATTGGCTGGAGGCCCAATCCTTTTGGCATGTTAAACATTTCAAAACTAAATATTGTTTCTTTTGGATACACTGAAGTTGGAAACCATGAATAACCCCAATAATAATATGTATTTTGTATAATGTATGTATGTTCCTCATGTACTGTCATCTTACTTCTGTCTTTAAATGTTCAAACAGACTAAATGAATGTAAACCAGATATGGAGACATGCACTACTAAAGCAAACCAGTGTGAATCTCTAATTGAAAATGGGACCACATTTTGAAATTGAAGAAGGTTTCATTCGACCTCAACTATTAATCATGCATTGTATTCAAGCAAAAGCATAATCTTCTCAAAGATTGAAAAATGTTGTATTCTTAGACAAAATACAACAACATTTTGTGTAGCAGCACAATATTAGCATACAATGGCTAAATGAAAATCCAAATGATTAGACTTTGCCCATTGTCCTGTTGTCTTGTATTGCTCCATGGATGCATAGATGGAAACATTCAAGTTGTCTTCATGTATATATTTATGTATAGGGATTGTTTAATATATTTAAGTATGTTTCAGGGGAAGTTTGTGTTGAAGAATAACTGGACTCAAACACATGTGTGTATTACATAAAGCAAAGCTTGTGATGGCCACTAGAGGACGTCCTCATGACTGCAGTAGCGCTGATATCTGCTGCAGTATGTTACACAAACACTGTCATGTTTTCCACAAGTAAAAGTATTTCTTTGCTGCTTCATTCATGATTCCTGTTGAATGAAATCATAATGAAATCATATGAAACACGAGGCTGTAAATGCACTGACGTTTGTTCTTTCTTTGTTTTCTGCAATTCATGTTTTTTTATGATGACTTTAAAGGGAAATGTTATGTTTGATATTGTGGGTATTTCACAGCAATGTAACAAGTCGGGTCTTTAACAAATCAATACAACAAACAGATTTTAAAAAGGCAAAACAAAAAAATAAATGATGTACAATCCAAATAAAGTTTTTTATGTTCTTCATTTGAAGTAAAACATTCTTTCTATTTACATTTAATTCTTTAAAAATCTATTGTAATAAAAACACACACACATACACACACATGTCCAACGTGCATTCATTTTGAAACTCATACTACTCTTCATCAAAGTCATTCCAGCTCACAAGGCCTTGTTTTTAATCTGTAAATAAAAATGTTTCAACCCATAGACACCAAAGTTTTCTTGCAATTTTTTCTATTCATTTATTGTTCTTGAGTTTAGAAATCCTCTATCTCCTATGATGTCTCAGCACATTTCACATTCTAAACAAATTCACCCTTGTTACAAATGGAACCCAGAACGCACTGATATTGGATAAAAGCACAGTTGTGTTCTACGTAACCCAGTTAAAGCAGTATACAAATAGTTAGCGGTGCAGTTTTGAAGGCCTGATGACGTGTGATGAAGCGATCATGAATAAATAAACAAACCTTCTCTTTCCACCACACTCTCACTTCACTTTTACTGTAGTCATTATCATTGTACTGTACACATTTGCAGCTCTCTCCTCTTCCATCAAACTACAGCATGAGTCCAGCGTCAGGAGGGAAGTGCAGCAGTCGAGGAGTCTGGTCTAAAATTCCTTTTGTTGTCCTCCAAGTGTATACTATGTTTATGAATATTTTACACTTTTATTTTACACTGAGCTGTCTGAAGAAACCTCTATGGCAGTTATTGCGTGAGCCGTGAAGAAGTGGAGTTCTGCAGTGTAATGTTCATATATGTGCCTGTCCCTTATGGAGGGTGCGTGTGTGTGTGATATTTGTTTGTTTTATGTATTTCATGCACAAGATATACAAAAAAAAATTCTCAGTAAAAATAAATATGATAAGAATAAACAAGAAGACCTGTGCATGGTTTAAAAAGCTATTAGTTGAAGCCAACAATAATGTCTTTTGTGGATAAAGATTTATATGTGATAAACTTTTTTAGTGCCACTGCTTAATTAAAACTTATTTTCTTTATGTATTTTGCGGGGAACTATACAGAGCAGAACAGTGGGTGGGGAAAGGGCATATAGTTAAAAATATAATGTCTATGTATTTTGTTAGTCCATTTTGGTTGATTGCCTGAGTAAGGATGGTTATCACTTTTTAACTTTTTAACGTCTGAAAAATCTGGTCTAAAAAGATGTGACAGACGCTGACAATACATAAATGTAAAAGTTTGTAATAGAACCAAATTGCTGTAGGGTCACCAGTAATTGCAGGTTAGGTCCAGCTTTAATACTGAGATAATAATGGATAAACACAAATGCCTGCCTCTATCTACTATTTAACCTTTTAAGGATCACCCTCCCTGTACAGGGAGGATTCAGTTATCCTGCCGGGCGGCACGGTGGCTGAGTGGATAGCACTCTCGCCTCTCAGCAAGAAGGTCCTGGGTCTGAGTGGAGTTTGCATGTTCTCCCCGTGTCTGCGTAGGTTTCCTCCGGGTACTCCGGTTTCCCCTACCACTAAAAATATGTCCAATAGTTCTGGCATGCGCCCCCTGTACTGGCGACCCCGCTCCCATCTCTGTGTGGAGTGAGAGACAAATGCCCAAAAATTAACAATTGTAAACCGCTTTGAGACTCAGATCTGCAGTGAAAAGGCGGTATATAAATAAAGATTACTAAAGATTACTACTACTAGATTTTTCATTTAACAGCATCAGTATTAGAATTCACTTGTGTCAATATAGTCAAGCTATATCTCTTTTGAAAGCTTATTCCCACCTCTATACGCGTATTATGTTCAAATAAACATTAAATATAACCAAAAGTAAGAATAAGTAGTCAAACTGTATATATATTTAAAATATATATTGTCCTTTCTTACCTTGTCATGCTAATATTCTGGGGCAAATCACGTCTAATCCACACATGTGTGCATTTGTTTTGTTCGTTAGGGTCTAGAGAACAATTATATCCAGTTGTTTTTTCTTCAAAGTCATCCTTATAGTAGATATCCACTTGCAACAACATATTTGAGTATTGAAAGTTGCACAAACAAAAACAAAACCTGTTCTTTGCGCACTGTATGAAGAGGACATTTTACTGTTTAGCTAGCGGCACTAGGTATGTTCGTCTTCCTCTAAGCCTCCCCTTCAAAACAAGCCCATTCCCGGACTTTTCAGTGCTATGGTTTGGAAGGTAGAGTAAGTTGAGTAAAACAAGCGCACCTAGCTTTAGCGCTCCATTCACATAGATATCTGTGCGTCACAAGCCCCGGCGATCCAAGATGGCGCCCTATTCAAATGAATGGTTGTGCCATGGATGTATTATATTAACTGGATAGGGTATTGCTAGCTTATAGCTGAATAACCCACGTGCTCAGGGGATTCTCGCGGTACTGCAGACTAGACCAGACTAAATTCATTCATTCATTTTCCCATAGAACTCAATGCAAATTAAAACAGCTCGACCTCAGCTGACAGAGAACCTACAGCTTTCATTAAGGTCGGATTTTGTGGGGATTTTAGTGCCCCTTGTCATCCTGAACTTTTTTTCTTTTTAAATCAATAGGTTTTCTTTTAATCTTCACTTTAGTGCAACAAACTCTGCTCTCTTTTTCCCGCTCTTCCGCCGCTCTAGCATCCGCAGCTCGCTGATTGGTCAAGACGTTGCCAAGCCCCTCTGCTCGCGTGCATGAGAACCATACGAGCGTGCGTTCCTCGCGTGAACGCGCTCCATTCGGCTCTGTTGATGACAGAGGAGCGGAGGGAGGAAACTGAACCGAACTGACCAGATAAACACGAAATGTACATTGACAGCATTGTTGTGGTTATTGTTAGCTTCATTAAGAGTCTATGTATGGTCTTTCCTACAGGGTTTGGAGTCGTGTGAATTCGTATGACAGTCATTTATACCAATATGAGTACAATAAACATAGCTATTGACTTTACAGCGTCCATATCAAAACCGAACTCAAACGTGATGATTACACAAGAGCTGGCGAGAGAGTTTAGGTATTCACCATGAATGTTGTAACCCTGCCAGTCAAAGGCAGCACAGACACACACATTTTAAGTAAATGCATTCATGTTTTGCTGTAATACATGTGGCAAGTGCTAATGCAGATTAGGATTCACATT